CATCAGTTGTGCACTGGCCTTTTACCTGCAAAGAACCAAGCCCATCAGAAATTCTCCAAGAAACTGTCACAACGACAGAGATCCCGTGTTCAGGCTGTATCCTCGCATGGGATTTCTAAGTGGGTTTCTGGCTGCATTATCAAAAGCTACAGACTAGATGCTGTCTCCTGGCAGTATAACGGCCCACTCCATGAGAGTGCAGGCTGCCACAGTAGCATCCCTGCAAGAGGTCCTGATGCAGGACATCTGCGGAGCAACCACCTGGAGCTCCGTAAGCATGTTTGCTAGGTATTATGCACTAGTCTAAGTGCTACAGATGCAGCAGTTGGATCTGCAGTACTGCATGCATCTTTGTTGCTGGCTTCCTTGCCCCCTCCTCCGGTCTGATAACTGTTTGTCAATCCCCACGTGTAGAATATACATAGGGGCCAGCACTCGAAGAAGTAGTGGAGGTTACTTATTGTAACTGGAGGTTCTTCGAGACGTGTGGACCCTGTCTGTATTCTGCTCCCTGCCCTCCATCCCCTGTGCTGTGGATCTGATTAGATTCGCGGTTAGAAGAGGAACTGAGAGGGTGTCGACCCACACTGCTGCTTATACCCTCGCTCAGGAGCACGAGGAGATTTACTGCGCACATGTGGGCCAACGGACACTGCTTGCTAAAATCTCCAGACTCAAGTGCATGATGTATATGCGTACCCACATGTGTGGCCTCTGTCTGTATTCTACATCGCAAAGAACCTCCAGTCACAGTAAGTCACCTTCACTTAAAATGTGTGTTTAGCTGTTTTTGTCAAATTTCTACTGCTCTGGGATCACCAGGGGCCTTACCTGAGACATTGTACCCATCGAGAGCACAGGGTTTAAGAGGTGTTCCTCTTGCCCTGCTGTGCTCCCTGTTTTGGTTGAGTATGATGAGTGCCCTTAATGCTTTAAGGAAGAGGTCTGAGCCAAGATGTGACATCCCATGCCACTTGTAAAAGTGCCCAGTAAGGAAATGGCAAAATGGCTTCTTATAGCTCAGGATCCATATTCTTCCAGTGGAACCTCGGAAGGCACCTGTTCTGGTTCCAGTGACTCCAGTAGATTGCATTGGGGAGATAAGAGGCTCCGAGAGAGAGTCAGATGTATCCTGGAGCAGCTGGCATCCCCAGATCCTAGGGCTGTTAAGGAGGACAAGGCCTTCTCTGATTTGGCATGGTCAGGTCAGTCGTATTCACGGGGGTGCCCCTTGGAACTGTTTGGCAGACCCCCATAAACTCTCTGAAGGATCTGCTGGAGGAGATGTCACATTACTCAGACCTGTCTAGCATTTCCAGTACTCTCCCCAGAGCTGTCATCTCTTCAGTACTGAGGACAAGTCCCCAGCTCTGGGGAGACCAGTTTTGGGGGCCGATTGATGCTATACTTGGATCCAGGGATCGCTTTTCCTGCTGGATCTGAGGTGGGTGCTGTCGTTTTCTCAGTTCCAAGATGGTGGGTGCCATGTCATTTTTCTGCAGCACCACCTTGGTGAGATTTTTTTGGCCAGACAGCTTCAGAGTTCAAGCCCCATTCAGGTTTTACTCCACATGGGTACTGAGTACTTTGGTGTTCGTCCCTTTGGGCCTCTGCTTCCTGGGTCAGCAGCTCTTCTGAGGTGCTGGTGAGGGATCCTGCTCCCTGGGCACTCTTCTCCAACAAAAAAGCAAAGGCTTCTTGGGAGTCCTTTGTCTGCCTCCAAAGGCAGTTAGTTACTCCTGAGGGGATTCTGCACCAAAACATTCAAAATTGAGGCAGGGGGTCTGGGTGCAGGAGGCTCCAGATGCAGGGGTCGAGGTTCAGTGGGGTGGGGTTCTGGTCTAGAGGACTGGGGTGGTTCTGGGTGTACGGGGTGAGGCTTGGTGGGGGTGTCTGAGTATGGGAGGTCTAGATGTGTGGGGGTTGGGCAGATGGGGGAGCAGCTCCCTGTACAGTGACCCCTGTCCCCACAGCTGAGGAGTGATGGGGGAAGGAAGAAGGGGAGGATGCTGAGCTTCCTGGAGCTTGGGGAGGTTTCTGTGGGTGATTCTGACACAGTCCCAGGCACTCCTCCCAGGGGAAGAGGAAGTGTTATCCTCTCCTGCCTCCAGTCTAGCCGAGACTAGCAGCTGATCCCAGCTCAAGCTAGGAGCCACTGGCTGGGGTGTCCCCAGACCTGCGGTGATTTACCTCTCCGCCGGCTGCTCTGGGTGCCTGAAACAATATACTTGCGCAGCTAGGGAGTGGTGCGACTTGCAGCTTCCCTTTGCTTCCCTGTCAGAAAGTCATTTTTCTGCAGGGAAGCAAAGAAATCTGTGGGGGACATGAATTCTGCACATGCGCAGTGGCGCAGAATTCCCCCAGGAGTAGCAGTTCCACATGGTGTGGACTCAGACGCTTTTCTGACAGAAAAACAGCAGATATAACTTGTGCCATGCCTGCCTTGTGCAGGCTTTCCTAGCGCCTTCCCCAGAAACAGCTGGAGATAGAAGACTCAGTTAGATGGACAACTGGTGTGATCCAGTGTGGCAATTCCTATGTTCCTGTGCTGAAGGTCTCATTTTATTGGCCAGGAGTGTCTCAGAGCTGTAAGTCCTGATGGCCAACACCTTATGCGGTGTGTTGCGCAAAGACAAAGTGATACCGAGGCCTCCCCCCCGAAACTTCTGACTAAAACTATCAGATTTTCGTTATCAGCCTGTCTCATGGCCTATGCTTTTCCCATAGCTACATATCCACCCTTCATAAGGGAGGTAACACGTCTTGCATCTCAAGCACTACTGACCTCTCCTTTGACAGGGCTTGTCATTTAGAAAGTTGTATGGTCTCCTTGTCACCTGTGGAGAAAAACTTACAGCTCAAGCCACTTCATCTCAAATGCATCCAGTTGTGTTATAAGCTGGCAGCTGCTCCTACGCAGGAATGACTCTCTGCTCTGTCAAGGAGGACGATGGCAACCCCTGTAGTGCTCCACATCAAAATGAACAAAGTGCTAATTGTCCACTGATTTCCTTCCTCTCGCTAGAGGCACCGAGTGCATACTTATGTCTATTTCCATCTCCAGTCTGACTGCTAAACCCCTACATACATCTTTATTTCTGCACTTTACTGAGGGCGGCCAGTAGTTCAGACACTCTGAGGTGGGGCTCCTATCCTTCTTGGGCACTAAGGATATCATAGCTTAATTAAGCTAAGGCATATCTACATAAGCAATTAGACCATGGGGGTGTGAGTCTGCCCCTCACTTACCTGCTGCAGTCTAACTACTGTCCACATGGCCACTGGTGACTCATGTTAACAATTTGTTAATGCACTTTCAGCTGGTCCCATTTCAAAGAGGACTAGCTCAAAGCGCTCTTATAAACTGTTAACGCACATCAGCTGGTGCACGTGGACAGTTACGCTGCAGCAGGGTAGATTCCCATCCCAGCTTGCCAGGTCCTCGTGTAGACAAGCTCTAAGATATAACAATGCTCTTTTTCTTCACTTCCAAGAAAAATAACTTCAGTTGGAGTGACTGGGTCACATACGTGTATAAAGTTTGGCCATCAAACCAGCTGTGGCATTGGGAAAGCTCAGATCCAGACCAAACGCTGCAGTTTGGGCCCACCTCAAATAAAAACCAATAAGGCTTCCAAATCCCAAATGCAGCGGGATCATTTTGGAAAGAGGATTGTACTCTTGGAATCAATGGTGGTTAAAACAAAGCACCTGTCTGATAGAGAAGTATCTTTAATAATATCCCAGAAGGAGGGGATAGGGATGTTTCTGGGGGCAGAGTTTTCCAAGATGGTAGCAAAGTCTCTTATCACCTGCTAGTGACAGTAAGTGGTAATGGCGGAACCTCTCTAAAATGAGGTGATGTCAGAACACATTTAACTACTAAGACAAAGCTCAAGAATAAGTTAAAGTATAGGCAGGGTGCCACAGGACCCTCTGTTGCTTTTTACAGATTCAGACTAACACGGCTACCCCTCTGATATAGGCAGGTTGTTTCCCACTCGAGGCTTGACAAGCAGGCAGGACTGCCTTAAAACCAGTTGACTGCTTTATGGGCAGCCAGTAGAAAGAATTCAGGCTGGGGGTAAAATGATCATAATGGCCCAATCCCAGGGAGCAGGTGACCAGGGGCCTTCTGCACCAGTCCTGCTGGAAATGCTGGGAGGAGGGAATTGCTGATTGAGCCCTGGGCAGATGAGGGTACAAGCAGTGCAGCAGAGAATATTTCCTTCGCCCCTGTGACATGTGGCGCTGACTATGTGCCACCGCAGGATGGTGGAGATAGAAAGGAAGAGAGACGCTTCATCATGAGGCTTTCTTCCTGCACCTTCCGGCACTAACAAGAACTGTGTTTTCCTGATGATGAAGTGGCCCCAATGCACTGAGCCAGCAGTAGCATCCTAGTCCTTCACCTCTGCTCTGCAGAGACTGAACAACTGAGTCTGGGAGGCAAAAGATGCATGTGCTGCTGTGATGAAAATGCCTAGCAGAGCCCCGGTAGAAATCCACAGCACCTCCATACTAGCACATCACTGACAGATGAAGACCTAGAACGTAACTCTCTCTGCCCTCCTCTCTTGGGGGCTGCAAGATAGTATATTTGTTACCATCATTTAAATCTAGGAGAACACAAATGCCATCTCTAGGAATCGTATTATTTCTTTCTCAGGATGACAAAATCCAGAGCATCTAATGTGAAGAGGAGGACAGGCCATACGAAATCATTCTCCTCTAATTGTCATGACAACCAGAAATTCTTCTATTTTTGAAGTGTTAGATGGAGCTGTGCAAAATTACTCCAGAATTCAACCTGCTGAACTGCAAAGAACCCCCAAATGCTATAGAAATCCTAATTGCTGAAATTTCATGGCATTATAGGTACACATCACGCACCAGAACCTTAGCTCATTGCAGATGTGTCGTATGCAACGCTGCTGAGACCAGTGCAGCTGGAATAATGCTAATTTAACATACCTGACTGCTTGTTTTCTTCTCAACAGACCATGAGAAGCACAGACTATGTAAAAGTGCAGACTATATGAATTTGCACTTCAAAGTGAAATGGCTGTACAATGAGTATGTTCGCGATCTGCCTGCCTTCAAGGGGAAAGTGCCCGACTATCCAGCGTAAGTCAGTTGTATTCTCTGTCATAAATTCCATGTCTTGCCCCATCTCACGCCTTCCTCAGGGTGATCCTTCTGCTTTCCCTTAGTCTTCCTCATTACTTTCCATCCTTTACTGCCTCTACACTTCTTTCTGACCACACCGAAAGCATACTAGCCTTCTCTCAGCTATTCTTGCTATTGGTCTCTCTCCTCCTTACGTACATGATTTTTTCATCTCATTGTACAGTATGTCTCAACTCGGTCTCAAGAGCCAAAATATTTAGCAGAGGGTTGGACCTTGGGACCTAGGTTTGATTTGGGGGCATTTCTATGGCATGTTTACAATCTGTGGTTTGGTTACGTTGGGGTGGGCTTTGTCATTTTGACTCTGTAATCAGTGGTTAAACAGAAAATGCTCTGTCTTATCAAACCTTGGCTTCCAAGCACTGGCCGAGTGGCCACCCAAAATTCCTGCCAGAAGCCGGAGCGCCTACTAGGGGCTACCATTTTTTTTTTTTTTTTTTAGGCACCTTCCTTAGTAAAGCAGTGCAGCTGTCTTTAGATTAGACTCAGTAATGACACCTTCCCTGAGCAAGGAGCTCACTTAGGTCCTCGCCTCCCTGGAGCTCTTCGGTCCTCCTTTCTGTACCGATGCCGTTTCTCTTTAGTAGAGGTGGCAAAGGGTCTGACTTGAGTAATTTGTTTCCTGGGGTTGATTTACTGGGTGAGCAAGCCCATCCAGCTGATCTAAATCTGTCCCGCAAAGGGCAGAGCTGGTTCCGAGCAGGCTCACCGTGGGAGAATCCCATGAGTTTCAGCATGAAATACTGCATTAAACAAGGGGCAAAGCAGATAGCCTGGATCACATGGTCTATATCCAGGGAGGCCAGTGAGGATCACAGTTATACAGTGTCTCTGTTCTGCCCTTTAATAGCTGTAGTTGCTGGTGACTACAGGTCCCAGATTGCAATAATCAACCTTGTCCTGAGCAGCCTGGCCTGTTGCTGGGGCTTGTAGCCTCTGTGGGCAACACAAAGGAATTAAAAATGAGGGCATGTGCCATCTAAGCTATGCAATTAGCCATGGCCCTTGGGCTCCTAGCAAGCTGTCAGCGCAGCCCTCAGGTGAACACAATTTGAGCATGCCTGATCTACAGGGCATCCCTCAGACCTGATCTAATAACCAGTCTGAACGGTGGGCCTTGGGAACAGATCAGCAGAGCAGTGAGAGGCTGCAGGGTCCTGTGGACAGGAGACCGGCCTGGTTTCCTTTCTTGGCTCTGCCCCTGAGTCAGCGAGCTTTGGGCAGGTCACTGGATTTCTCTGGACTGTATCTTCGTTTACAGATCAGTAAAATAAGGATAATGATGCTTAGCTATTTTCCTAAGGAGCTCTGCAATCTATGGGCGAAAAACGTGACCCGAGTGTCATGAAGCAGTAGTATTCAGTGATCTAACCTGCTGGCTCTGTCTAGGCGGTATCTCTCTACAGAGCTCCTCATATCGTGGTGTACTGTGCAGTCTCCAGCATCCTCTGCTGCTGATCAGTGCTAATATTTAACACTAAGCATGTAACCAAATACATCTTATGACTATTTCAACCATCTCCCTTAGCTGTCTGCGCTCCCCACCCACCACTTCAAAAATACCACTGGGGCTAATCGTAGCAATGAGTTCTTTTCTTCAGACAGTGGCATGATCCCCATTTTATAAAGTGCAACTTCATTAAATACAGAAGATACTTAACGTTCTCTGCTTCAGATTCAAACCTAGCAAACTCTTTGAGACCAGTCAAAACGCCACCGTCCAGAGAGCCGACTCTTACGCCTCAGAATGGACAGGAGACAGAGCTCAGACCCGTTTGCCTTATTCCGTACCTGGCAGTGAGGGAGAGAATGCTTCCAATTGACCCATTCCTGATGGCCGTGAGGTTAGGTTGAAAATAAAGTCAAGATTTCCAAGTGCTGACTGTTAAATCTGTCACTCCCCTGGCTTTCAACAACCAAGCATCAGTTCCTAAACAGAGTAGAAACACAGCCAGCAGTCGAACATTAGCGCTTCCTCTTGTCCGTTTCAGAAGTCAGCAGAAAGATGGAAGATGTTAATTCCCAAAAGCATGAACTTCTTATTCTTTGTCCTTTCAAAATGCTTAATATAGCATGTTTTTTCTAAATTATACACTTTTGCACACATCAAGTACTGTGATTGTACCAGAGACTAGCTTGTCTCTGGACGTAGAAGGCATTTCTGCCTTTGATATTGTGACTTACAGTGTACCTGTTTGGCCCAATCTTGAAAACCCAGTCTCTGTTTTCGCCCCTGTAACTTGCATGCTCAGTTGAAAACACTGTTTAGATGTCTTAGTACCTGACTTATGGAGGCAGCCAGGTACCTAGGCATGTAAGCCCTCATTTTGTCTGCAACGTTCTGGTCAGAGAAGCAGAGGCTAGGTTCAGGCCAGGCTGAAAGTGCAGCCCTTTGCCTTGCATTAGATCTGTAACACACGACAATAGGAAATTTCCATTCAGCCAGAAGACACTGCTCCCATTCATGGCGTAGGAGAGCACACTACACTGAAGAAAGCAACAGAGAGTCCTGTGGCACCTTTAAGACTAACAGATGTATTGGAGCATAAGCTTTCATGGGTGAATGCCCACTTCGTCGGATGCATCTCTCTGTTGCTTTTTACAGATCCAGACTAACACGGCTACCCCTCTGATACACTAAAGAACCTCCCTCCCCAAAATTATCTTCCCTTTTTGCCAGGCAGTCTGGCTAGACCGCAAAACACCTAAATGACGGTGAATTTGTAAGCCATTATGCTGGAAGTATTCTGCATCCCATCTATGGCTAATGGCTTTGTGTTCTCACCACTGCATGTGGTACACTTTCTGTAGTGCCCCTACCACCTCCTGTGAGTGTGCAGTGAATGTCAAAGGTGCAATAAGCAATGGCTGGTAAGGGATAACCAGTAGGCAGTTCTGCCTCGTTCTGTGCCATAAGCAGCAAGTAGTAAGTAGCAAACAGCCTGTGTCATTCATTGAGCTGTAACTTTCTGGGGCAGTAAGCAGTCCAATACAGCTTGCACTCAGGAGCTCTGCAGGGGATGGGAGACTTGGTAGCTGCTCTCTTATAAACAACCTCTGTTTCCTTAGTACCTGAGCTCTCTTCTAAATAAAAAAAAAAATGAGTCCTGGCTTAAAAAGCGCTCTCATTACTTAAAAAACCAACAAATCGCTCAAATCCTGCACCCCATGCACAAACCATGACTCTCAAAGCCTCAGAACTGCCAGGTCAAAAGCAATTTCACTGGAACATGGAAAGACCTTGTCTCTCTGAGGGAACTTTTCCCATCATTGCTAACATAGGTCAGCGTGGCTGACAGCTGTGATGGGTAGTGCTGGTGCAGGCAGGCTGCTGCTGGCATTTAACACTGTGTCAGTTACAATTTCCAATATTAACATGGGTGTGCTGTGTATGCCAAGGTGTTAGGAGTATTTAAGGCTACCCAGGATGCTCTGAGTTTGTGCGCTCTCTCTGTCTGTCTCGCTCTCGTGTCTCTCACGTTATTTCACATTCTTTGCTAATTCAAGCAGCCCATAATTAGCACCATTTGAATGAGCTCCATGGCCTGTTCAGAGAAGGTCGTACTCTATTGTGAAGCTCATATCATACACCTTTGATGGATTGAATTCACACATGGGCCCTTTTTTCCCTTGTTTGTGAATGCTGTTTGGTAATATATGAAAGTGAGATTTGCTGCAGCTGCAGTACTTACATATAGAAGAGCTGTGTAATGAACTCTAGAGACGTTTAACTCAGATGAAACCTTAAATGCTATGCTGCTTCTTAAACACCACCGCAAACCTCCCCTCTGTATTGTCCTGATGCTTTCAAACAGCTAGAGACCGGAGTCTGGCTAGCTCAAGGGATTGCTGACGGGATACAGATCCTTTCTCCTCCTGTTCTCTGGTTCCGGTCAGGCACATCAGTACTGGCAGCTGTCTGGTGCAGTGAGTTAAGAGTCTAGTCCAGTTCCAAGGGGATAAATGTCCACATTGTAAAGCTACCTCCTTGGCACACAAGGGCACCCATTGTTATCAGGCTCAGTCTCCAGAGCCCTTTCCATCCTGCTATGCTAGCCTCTCCCCTCTCCAGGACGGGAGTTGGGGAAGCTTGTTCTCCTTTGCCCGTGTTCTACCTGTTCTTGGGATTCCTAGAACTCCACTCTAGGGTGGGTCAATCTGGACCCTTTCATATGCACTAAAGTCACTTGCACTCTCACAAGAGAGAAGTCACCATGGCACTGCGGATTCTGCATGGGCCGGCGTCTCCTATGGGGATAGTATAGTGCCACCAACCAGTCGTTGAGCTCTGGTTACTCGAGCGTTCTCCCAGACTGTTAATGACTTAGACTCTTTGGCATGCTAACAGACTGGATCCAACTTGGAGAGCAGTTGTGCCTTCAGGGGAGAGGATTCCAGGCTACCCTAGGAAGGGTATGGGGCAGCGGAGACCAGCGTTGGGGTGGAGAAAACTGCCTCATCTGGGATCTCCCTCCCCCTACTTCCAAAATATGTTCCTGCACCTGGAGACAAAATGGCAGGAGGCCCAGGGAAGCCACTTCCTTCTCTCTTTCCTTATGCAAATGCCCCTAATGCAGATCCCACAGCGAGAGCTGCAAGCTCACACAGCAAACTTCTCTTCCCATACCTGAATCCCTTAGCTCGTCCCTGGGAGCATGTGTGGTTAAATTCCTTAGAGCCACTGGTAAAAGTCTCATTAGCCCAGTGAGCACACGGCTCTTGGGGGGAGGGGGAGAGAGGGCTAATAACACACACAGGAAAAGAGAAAAAGGAGTAAAAACGTTGAAAGCAAAACCAGAACCAAGCTACTGAAGAGGGAGAGAGCACGAGCAGAGGTGGAACAGTGCAGGGGGAGAACGAACCAAGTGGGTGAAATGGTAGCAACTGTGCTGAAGCTCGTGGTTATGAGGGGCCCCGTCTGACAATCCAGTGCGCGGGGGCCAGCCGAGATTGTGGCCTGTTCCTGCCCAGGCAGCAGTGTGGGCACACGTGTAAGTACACCTGTGTGCGTGGGTGCTGCTGCCCTTCAGCTCCTGCCTGGGGAAAGCCAGCTGGGCACCCAGGCAGATAATAATCAGCTTTCAGCCTGGCTCGCTGGAGGGTCAGCTGCTGTCTGGCAATACATGGAACCAATAAAGCTGGGGAGAGGGAAGCCAGGATTTTTGCTGTCTTGAAGGCATTTGAATCACTGAAAGACTCATCAGTGCTGAGAGGTGGGAATGCCACAAGATTAGTAGTTGTGAGTAGGCCCCCGGCAGCGGCGGCTGTGTTTCACACTGTAACTTGCTCTCCTTCCTCTCCCCGCGGCAGATGGTTTGAGCAATTTGTGATGCAGTGGCTGGATGAGAATGAAGATGTTTCCCTGGAATTCCTGCATGGAGCCCTGGAGAGAGATAAGAAAGATGGGGTATGTAGCTGGATTACTGTGCCCAGGAACCAAATATTACCACAGCAAATTCAGAAGCCTGAATGCAGACACAGCCATTTTAGCTCACTGAACAAATGGGAATCTCCTTTATCTTGAAACTGTCCCCCCAGGTCCTTATGAACCATTTTAACCTAACAGAGAGAGCAGAGCAATTCATTTACATACACTGCTGCTGCTAATCTGTGTCAGCAAGAGGCAGGGCCGCCCGGAGGGGCGGGGGGGGAGCAAGTGGGGCAATTGGCCCCGGGCCCCACAGGGGCCTCACAAGCCCTGGCCTGGCAGTGATCCGGGTCTTCGGCGGCCCCGGCCCAGCGGTGGTCCGGGTCTTCAGCAGCCCCGCAGGGGCCCCGCGAGCCCTGGCCCGGCGGCGTTCTGGGTCTTTGGCGGCCCTGGCCCAGCGGTGGTCCGGGTCTTCGGCAGCCCTGCAGGGGCCCCACAAGCCCTGGCCCGGCGGCGGTCTGGGTCTTCGGCAGCCCTGCATGGGCCCTGCGAGCCCTGGCCCGGCGGTGGTCTGGGTCTTCGGCGGCATTTCCGCAGCGGGGGGCCCTTCAGTGCTGCCAAAGACGCGGAGTGACTGAAGGGCCCCCCGCCGCCAAAATGCCGCCGAAGACCCGGACCGCCATCGGGTGAGTACAAGCGCCGCAGCTCCCCCGCTTTGCCCCAGGCCCCCTGAATCCTCTGGGCGGCCCTGGCAAGAGGCTTGGCATTCTCCCACATCCCCATGCCTGTGAGATAAGTCATTGAAATACATGAAACTAGATACGTGTCTAATCATGACAGTAAAAATGACCTTAATCCAGCTATTCTTTAACCTCAGCGAGTGCTCCCAGAGGCTCTGCTGTGATGTACATAGCCTGTTTGAATTTGGATGAGAGCCCTCATTTATATTTCTCCATCTGAAAAAAAATCTGTGTTTTCTTTTCCATGTTGCTCATTAAACGAACAGGCAAATGATGCATTTCATGAAAGGTCTCAGCAGTGTATTTGCCATTCCCGGGTGTTGAGCCATGTCCCTTCCTGGTCTAGACTGCAATTGTCAAAGGGAGAGAGGTCCTTAGAGCCCATTGAAAATTAGGTGCCAAACTTCTTTGGGCCCCTTTGAAAACTCCTTCCTTAATTCTGGGGTGAATGTGTTCTGCTTTGCAGCTGCCCAGTGCCCACACAGTAGAGAAAGGACAGATACCTGGGAAATACCAGCTGCCTCTCCCAAATCAGTTCAAGACGTTCAGAAATTACCGTATGTGTTTTTTGTTTAGTTCCAGCAAACATCTGAGCATGCCCTATTCTCCTGCTCGGTGGTGGATGTCTTCACACAGCTCAATCAGAGCTTTGAGATCATTAAGAAGCTGGAGTGTCCAGACCCTGAGGTTGTTGCTCACTATATGAGGAGGTTTGCTAAGGTAACAGCACTAGCATTTAGCTCTTCATCGGCCTTCAATTGTATGGACAACTTGAAAGTACTTGTAGGGGTTCTTATTGTTGGTTTTAACCGATAAACACTGATAAAACACTCCCTGTACAAAAAATAAAATAAAAATTTAGAAAACATTGGTATTTCTCCAGTAAACACCAGAAATGGTTACATGTATCTAAGGGTCTGTCTCTGTGGAGCAATAACACACACCACAGGGGTGTGATTTCCCAAGCACGCTAATGTGTTGCATATTAATTGGTTCATGTAGACCCTGCTACTGTGCACTAAAGGGTTCCTAGTCCGCTTTAACATAGCGCTGTTTGAAACAGTACTACGTTAAAGTGCAGTGAGGAACATTACAAAGAGATTATTCATTACAGTATACACAAAGAGAGAGCCCTTAAAAAGCCGGATTTTCAGACATCTGCATAAAAATCAAAAATTGCTTAAAGAAATAGCCACCCAAAAATGAAATTAATGAACCCTGAAGAACAGAAGCTAAGTGTTTTGGCGAATCCTGTCTACTCGAAGTTATTGGTTTGGTTTTATTTTCGTGTTCTCCTGCAAACATCCTGCCTTTCTCAGTGGAAGAGGAGAGCATAACATTGTTCACTGTTGTCTTTGCAGACAATTGGGAAAGTGCTGATGCAGTACGCTGACATTCTCTCCAAGTGTTTCCAGTCCTACTGCTCCAAGGAGAAACTAGTGAGTAACATCTGATTTCTCCCCCTGCCCCCCTTTAGAAACCCAGGCATCATTGAACCGTTCTGCAATAGCTTTAAAATAGCAGGTAAAGGAGTCCTCGGACTGCAGCTGGGAAGCCATAAACCTCGTCATTTTGCTCATGTCATCAAGCCCCAAGCGTTTTATGGCGTTAACTTTGATTTGCTCACCTATAAAATAAAATTGGGCACTTGGTGTGTGTCAGTCCCACCACACCCGTGTCAGAGGGTTTTGCTCTCCATTAAGGAGGTGGAAATAAATGTTCCAGACGCATGCACCTTGCAGACTCTGCTGTGATCCCCTCCCTCCCCAGGCTGCAGCCGCACATGGAATTGTAGAGAGCAGAGATGGACCATGGTGTGCTTGGCCACGTGACAAGGTGATGGCCAAGGTAGACTCTGCCTGACTTGCTGGGGCTTGGACTCTTCTCCCCATCTTTTCATTCTGAACCTGGGGAACTGCTTATGGCAGCTGCTGTCACCTTTTTCCAGGGCCCTTTGGAGTGAGGCATCAACTCTATTGTCTAAATCTTGTTTTACGGCTATGAAAAGAAATAGGTGTGGGGCACTCTTTGTAGATCTTTGTACCATGTCTGTATCCCATTTGGTTTTCGCAAACACTTCCCAGTTTAGTATCCCCTACTGCTAACTAACTTGTTGTTCAGCCCCATTTTTAGGTCATTAATGGTGGTGGTAAATAAAACTCTGTGTCTGAAATCTGGATGCTTGTCGCATGCTGTTCTTGACGCTCTTCTTTAATGAAGCCAGGGGAATGCTCCAGCCTCCTCTTAGCAAATGGGTTTTCTCCCTTTGTGCTCATGTAATCCCGACTCTGTCCTTGACGTTGTCGGGACACGGCACCAGAGAAGTCAGACTCAGATCACAGAGGAGTGATCGTTAGGTGTCAGCAGGGCCATTAGTTGGTGTATTTTTTCCTGTGCGGTTCAATAGGTAATGCAGCTGCGGCTGCCCCAAGAGAGTGGAAGAAAAAGATTAATGTTGTTCACTCAGTTTTCATGTGTTTACCAAGACTTTCTCCCCTTTCTGCTGCAAGTGCTAATTGTTTATATGGTTTCATTGTTTCTACCCATAATTATTTTCTTCAAAAGAAATAATTTCCCACCATTTTCTTGAAGTAAAGACCACAGCATGCAAATGGATTCCACCTGTGGTGTTCACAAATCGTTCAAATCTTCTGTAGTTTCTGAACAGTGCTCTGTGCTATACCCAACCTGATAGCCTCCAGGGATATGTATAGAATTGGCATCCATCCATGTTCGGGGAAACTTAACATTTCATTCCCAAAGTTTTCTTCTGCTAATGGCACGCACAAGCAGCAGCGAATTACCCCAAAGAGACTGTGAAGCCAAAATAGTCCACATCTGATCCGTGCTAGCGTGGTGGAAACCTTAGCTTAATCTCGGGAAGGAAATGCCCATTGCGCGCCCCATCATGTAGACATAACCATGAATGACAGCAGACGGGGCTGGGACACCGCCATGCCCCAGTTCTGCTCAAGAGGGATGGTCCAAACAAGACAAGCCATTAGACTGCTGTGACCTAGAACTCAGTCAGTCTGCCAGATGCTCCTTTCTTCAAGACCCAAGTCAGTGACCTTCCTTACTTCATATAGATCAGGCAGGAGTTTCCCTATATATGGACAATTGGGAAGCACCCTTAGAAAACCCCTTGATTGGTAGAAGTAGGGTTTGGCAAAATCGAATCCCCTATATAGAAAAGCTTCTATTCAAGTCTGGCGCTCTCGTCAGGGGTGTTACTGGAGCAGAGGATCATCATTCGTGGGTGTTTGACTGTTTGATCCAGTGGGGAGCTGTTCCCTTGTAGGCGGGCGGATTTGCTCATATGTCAGGGGTACTTAAAACAGAAGATGCATCTCGTCCCCTTAGGATTAATGCCACTTCACCATGGCCTGGTCGTTTTCTATGTCAGATATCTGCCTCTATGCTACAAATCCTCCAAACTGCTACTGGATGCTGTTGTCAGTTCAATGCCTCCATGGGTACTATGTTCAGAGGAGAGATTCTGAATGAGGCAGCCTGAGACATATCAGTGCATCCCTTCTCCCTTCAGCCCTAGCTGAGTCCCACTCTAGAGATGTTTGGGGTCTGCTCTATAGAGTCCCTTAATTGCAAACAGGGGCAGCTTGAGCAGATAAATCCCCCCCCCCCCCCCCCCCGATGTGTGAATTTCTGGGAGTGGCCACCTCGGTGTGCAGCACCTCCCCTTATGATCTGTATGCAGTTCAGATCTGCACAGGTCAGAGCTGAGAAGGTGATCTGAGAATGGCTCTTGCAGGAGGGCAGCTGCCGGTTGTCTACCTGATCAGCCAATTGTCTACAGGAGCAACCCCTTAACCACTGATTGGCATGTCTGCAATCAGCTGCCCCCTTTCCCGGTTGGAGAGAGGGACTTTCCTCCTTAGCTTTGTTAGCACTGAAATCTGCCCTTCCTCTTCATTTACATGCTGGGGGAAATTGTAGCCCTGGCTATGCCAGTGAAAGAACAAATAATACTGTTGTCACCCGAATCAGTAACAAGACTTTGCCATTGCCTCCTTCAGCCCTGCATCCTGATGAACAACGTTCAGCAGCTGAGAGTGCAGCTCGAGAAGATGTTTGAGGCCATGGGTGCTAAGGAGGTATGAGCACTAAAACTGGCTACTTATGCACATAACTACTAGGTTACCTAGAGCCTCCAGTAAAGATTAGGGCCCCATTGCTCTAGGTGCCGGGCGGTCGGAGTGAAAGGATAGCCCTTGCCCTGAACATCTTCCAGTCTAATTGAACACAACAGCAGGTTTTTCGAACAACAGACAGGAGCAGGGGAGGGAGGACAAGGGAAGAAGTAATAAGACAGTAATAAGAACATGCATTAATGTGGGCTGGACTGGGGCACAACAAGATGTTTTCAAGTCTGTTTTTTAAATACAATAAGAGTGTCAACAAACTCTCCACGTTATGGGCAGAAGTCATTTTGTGCAGTGTGTAAATGAAGGTCAGTAACTTGGTTGGGAGTAAATGACCTACATTTAATCTATTCTAACCACACCCAGGCTGTGTAATGCGCCCTGTCGGATTCCTTGGATCCCTAAGGAAGTGTTTGCCAAGGTCGATTGATTGCGGTGTTCCTGTGAATGTTTTGTTCAGAGGGTAGCAAGTTTCAAAGACATGAAAGAATTTTGTTTCAGTTGCTGTTTGTAAAGAGAGGATGCGCAGCTATAATGTATATATTTTTTTCTCTCTTTTCTTTGCTTTTCAAGCCTCAGGATGATGAAGAAAAGGACACTACTCATGTTAGGAAAAAATCTTTTTCAGAGCCTCGGGGCATTTTCGTTAGCTGTGATGTGCTAGATCCTGCGCGCTCGTCTGCACGCCAAGAGGCTAGTTCAGGGGTGGCAGTTCAGCATTTTGACTCTCTCCAAGTCTCTCTCGTGCTCAGTGGCATAGTGCTAAGAAGTGACAAATGCTTGTTTTTAAGTTTCAAAACAAAACAACCTGCTAAATCTGTCATTGGCTAATGCAAGGATGACAGCAAAGAGGTTTTCTTCACAGTGGAGCTCAGTTCTCCTGAAACAAAATGTCCCAGCAACCTAGACTTGTTGCACAGGGTGCACCCAACCTTGATATTACATCAATAATGGCCCCGAAGGGCCAGTTTCCAGAACAATTGCTCCCATGATTAAACGTATGTAAATGATTTTATGAAGGCATCACTTGCATGTATGGGGGTCACCACTAGGAAATCAGCATTTGCCAAGTTACCCAACAGTGCTATCTGATAGCCACAGTATTTCCTTATACTTACAATGGGAACAGGGCCGGCTCTAGGCACCAGCGTTCCAAGCATGTGCTTGGGGCGACACTTTCCAAGGGGCAGCACTCCGGCTTTTTTTTTGCTTTGCTTGGGGCAGCAAAAACCCTGGAGCCGGCCCAGAATGGGAAATAACCCAGTATCTCAAACGCCTGGTGGTAAACTGTATTTAATGACAATATAAACGCTTTCACTTAGCCTGGGTAAGATCCCCCTCTGGGAAGGGTGCATCTTTCTGCACAGAATCTCAACAATGCCTATCCCAGCACTTCCCCAGTGAGGTGAGAAGTCATAGGGGGGTTTCAGCTTGGACCACAGGTTCACAGGAGAGACCTGTGGCCAGCACTGGGGGTGTGCAAACCTCTGTATTTTCACACTCCTTCCTAATGCTGCGTAATGACTCAGCACTTCATGAGTATACAAGAGCACATCAATGAAATAACAAGAGCATGTCGAACTGTTTGGTGTAAGGTACAGTACAGTGTGTGTAATGTACTGGAGTGTGTAGGGTACGTATGTTCTGCACGCCGTCTGTGGTACACTAACACTCCACCTCGGTCCAGACAGTCGGTGCTCAGGGCGCTTAGACTCTAGCTGGAACAGGAATGCAGATCTCAGCTGTGATATCACACAGCAATCATCCGGAACAAAAGTACATTTATACAAAAATTCATGCATCTGCCAGGACCTTCGTGAGCTCCCTCTGCTGCGAGCTTCTCCCTCCCAGCCCAGCTTGTCCCTTGCAGCATCCTCCATTGAAAGCCTCCTCCTGTAGTGACATGAAACTGCAGGCACTTCAGCGGTCTCCCGGCACTGTGGGATTATACCAGGAGGAGGAGATGTGCTGGGAGCTCTGGCTCAAACCCTGTGACTCTCAGCCTGGGAGCTAGCAAACCTGGGGAGAAAAAGAATGCAAGTTACATGTTGAGCAACTGGAATATTGTTTGCTCAATATATTAGAAGGTTTTCTTGGGAGTGAAACTCCTTGCTACATGCTGTTTGTTCACCTCATCCACCTGCCACTGTTCACCAGAAATACTTCATTTCACTTGTGCCGAGTACCTGAAATAGCTGACCTCCCCAGGGTTTTCCTCTTGGTGTGCATTTAGTACTTGGCTTCATAGATTAAAACCGTGCCAGAGCCTTGGTTCCGCTAGCCTAGACTGCCTTGTTCTCGTTTTAGTGGCTACTCTGATAGTGACTAGTCCTGGCCAGTGAAGCTCAGTCAGTGAGATGACGACTCTGAAAATAGAGCTAATTCTGTGTTCTGGAAATACCTCATCTTGTGCAAAGTTTTTGTTCTCTCCTTCAAGAAGGACAATTCCTTGGTGTTTACAAGAGATGCATACAGCATCCATACTTCGTACAGGGGTTGGCATTCAAATATAGCAGTGAGGGCAAGGTTTACATAGAAAGCAATAAGAGGAGGTATTTCTCTGTAAAGAATAAGAAAATGTCATGGTGAGGTCACATCAATGCTCTAAGTAAATGTTTATTTTTTTGCTACCCAACGTATTATGGCTAAATGAAAGCACCTCGACAGTTTTCCTGTAATTATACTAATAAACTAGGAGTTGCAGGTAGACAAATCATAGAAATTAGGAGTTGTAGGTGGTGAGAAAGATTAAATGAATTTAAGATAGCATGCACTTTGACTACTTCAACTGTGTTCTGTTCACCTAATCCAGCTACACCTGGAGTACTTCTAATATTACAAAGCTCTGAATAGGTTTCAAATAGTTGTTCCTTCTCTTCCCAAGTGTGAAATCCCATCCCTGCCTGCATTCCTTGTACTCTCCCTAAAACATTACCCAAGGATATCAGGTGTGGGATAAGGCAGCATTGAGCCCTAAACCCCTGGGCGTAATACCCAATATCTTGCGACCCATTGAGGCTAGAAGCCGGAGCACAAAAGATCTGCCCTTGATTCCCACCTTGGAAGATCCCAAGAGATTCTCTCATTCAAACTACAACATTATAATTGATAGAAAAACTCTTTTAGATCATTTTAGAGTTTTATAACACTTTATTTTTCTCCCTTTGAGCCTGTGCAGTGGATCTCATGCTGCTAAGACAACTTGACTTAGAGGGATACAAATATTATCAATACAGCTTCTAAAAACCTCTCTCAAATGTCAGGTGTTTGGGAAAAATAGTGTTTCTGCAATTATTTGTAGTGGTAAAAGCATTATACACAATGGTAGTGTGGTGTAAATGTTGTAGGCACAGATTCTATGGTGATGGCAGTCATGTGTGTTCCCTGACGTCACTGACATAACTTTGGAGTAACTTGTATAATTCACTCATCTCTTCACAAATGCGTAATGACGTTTTTCTGAAAGCTCTGCTCTAGGAATTATTTTGGGGCAGGTCTCTGGCCTGAGTTACACAGAAGGTCAGACTAGATGATCACAATGGTCCCTTCTGGCCTTGGAATCTGAATATCTTTGAATGTGGCAGTCATAAATTCATGCACGTAAAGCATTCATGCCACCTGTGCTGTTTTCTCTTCACCCCTCATGTTGTTCTACAGACCCCTGCTTGGGAATGGTACAGTCTGACAGTGGGCAGTGCAATACTTTCTATTTTCATTCGTCAGGAACGACTTTGCAGCCCACTCACTGCCTTCTTTTGCCTTTCACAAGTTATGCAATCATTAACTTCTGCAGGATAAAAAACCCATGCACTGCACTGCACTGCCCACTGTCACGAATTCTCGATATGCTGCAAAAGCCCAATTAAAAGGTGTAGAAACTTAGATTTTTTTGAAGTACAAGCCTCCCAGGGAAAATATCAGAGAATAATATTATTTACAGTAGAACCTCAGAGTTACAAACACCAGAATTACGAACTGACCAGTCAACCACACACCTCATTTGGAACCGGAATTACACAATTAGGCAGCAGCAGACATGCACAAAAAAGCAAATACATTACAGTACTGTGTTAAATGTAAATTACTACAAAATAAAAGGAAAGCAGCATTTTTCTTCTGCATAGTAAAATTTCAAAGCTGTATCAAGTCAATTTTCAGTTGTAAACTTTTGAAAGAACCACCATAATGTTTTGTTCAGAGTTACGAACATTTCTGAGTTATGAACAGCCTCCATTCCTGAGGTGTTCATAACACTGAGGTGCTACTGTATTGAGCCTTGAGAATAAAGTCTTCAGTAGACTTGTCTTCCTCCAGTTTTCATGCTATCAGCTAAGCTGTATGAAAAATGCTCCAGTAAAACGTACTCTCTTCTTAGTGTTCAGCCAGATTTATCCCTCATTTTAAATGCTCAGTCACCTGTATGACAAACCCCAGGATAGCTGAAAAGCAGCCTTGACTTTGTTATAAGAGCTGTGGGAAAGCATTCCTTGGGTCCAGGCTCCTGCTAAGAGCTTCTTATCCTGCTGAATTCTTCAGTCTTGTAAGACTGCTATCAAATCCACAGTAGTTAGAAATGCATACTGCTGGCTTTGCTCAGCCCTCCATCTTCTCCCTTTCCTGAAAGGTGGGCAGAGAAGTGAGTGATCCTTGGGACCACGTGACATAAGCCAATGTATTGTGTCCTTTTAAAGAAGGTCTCAATCTGTTTTAGTTTATCAAAAGGAAGTGTGAGAGGTGTCTTGATTACAGTGTACAAGTACCTATGCAGGGAGAAAGTGCTGGTACCAAAGGGCTTTTTAATCTAACAGCAAAAGGCACGACAACCATCAGGAGGTGGACGTTAGAATCAGACAAAATCCAATTTAGAAATAAGGCACAAATTGTTACTAGCAAGGGGGTTAACCATGGGAACACACTACCATGGGAAGTGGTAGAGTCTCTATTTCTTGATGTCTTCAAATAGAGACAGGATGCCTCGTCTCTGAAAATAGAGATACTACTTCCCAGCTTCATGTGTATGGTGGGTATTGAGAGTCTCCATTCATTGTCTGGAGTGGACGCTGCTTTTAGATCCTCAGACGATGCTGTGGAAGTGCCAAGTATTATTCCTACTAGAATTAGAACATTTGTTCAAAATTAATCACCATGTAGTCTAGGCTGTCTCATGTTTCATAGAGAACATTTTTATTAGCTTTCTTTCTCAATGTCATGCTCCGTGCACCCAGAGTGAGGGAGATTGTAAGGCTCAATAAGGCAGTGGAGTTCCAGCTTCCAGCAGAAATGCCATGGTCATGATATGCATTACAATGTGCCAACTTTCTAATATTTCTTGCTGCTCCGCTTTGCAAGCCAGGTTTATTGGCATTTCCTGTTCTCATGGATAGCCGGTACACTTAGCATTCATTGACTGAGCAGCAAAATAGATATTAGTTCATTCAGGAGCCTTTATCAGTGCTTCACCATATTGGCAGAGAAGAGTTTCCAGCTACACTGAAAGCTGAAGAAAGTCTATGAAGGACTGTAACTTGTATCTAATTCAGATACAGAAATAGTAGGCACCAATCTCACACCCTTCTAATGGACCTCAATCACCGCTCAGTTAATCCCCTGCAGTTTGTGTCGAGCCAGGGAATGCCAATACCAGCCATTAAGGAGCTAGTTGATACATTATCTAGACTTTTCCTTCTTGTGTGTTAGCAGCTGTTCAGAAGAATCAACATCTTCATAATGACAAAGGACTTTTCTGCCACTGAGCTGAGAAATTCAGCACCACAGCTGGCTTTCCTTCCCCTATCACTTAGTGGCTACTAATGTGTAATGAGGGAAAAGCTAGAAACTTTTTTAATCAGTGTCAGTAGCAGTCTTGTTAATCGCACCTGAAAAGGGGATGGGGGTCAGTTTAGAGGGGACACAGTGCTATGGGGATCTGAGTTTGGGTCTGCCGCCCCTTGGCCAGAAGCACTGTAAAGGCCTGAGTGTTCATCCCCTGGGTGAAGTGTTGCTCCCAGATATCCTCTCTAGCAAGTGCAAAACTTGGTGGTGATAGGATACCGAGGAGCCATATTTTGCTCTCTGGTGGGAGGGGAGGGGAGGGTCACTGCTACAAGAATAAAATAGTAAGAGGCAGCCTGGATGCACTCAATGCATTCTCTGTAGTAACCATGCTCTGAGTTCCCCTAGCCTCTGTTTGCCAGAAGCTGGGAACGGGCGATGGGATGGATCACTTGATGATTCCCTGTTCAGTTCATTCCCTCTGGGGCACCTGGCCTTGGCCACTGTCGGTAGACAGGATACTGGGCTAGATGGACCATTGCTCTGATCCACTATGGCTGTTCTTATAGTCTTATGTAACTTTCCACAGTAAAATAACTCATTAGTTGTACACTGCATGAGCTCGACATTCCAAGGGTCATGAGTTGCAATGCACCATCGCTGTCATAGATGCTGACCTAAAAATGTCCTGTGGATTCAGCACCGACACAGCCTGTAGCTATGAAAGAAATAGCAGAATATAAGGAGTGGGGGGGGATCAGTACCAGTTCTGCTGGCTTGTGTAAGAAGAGAGCTGATCCTCTAGTTCAGCTGGCAAAGCATTTGTCTGAAATGTCACGGTGAGTCAGGCTGATCCTGAGTCCCGCTCCCCCGGACAGTGGGCTGAGTTCAGAGGCGTAATGGTGCTGTACATTACACATTCTGCATTAGAGACTGTAAACTGATGGTGTCTTACATGCCTGGGAAATAGAAGGGGGCTGGAGGGTAGAAAAAAAAGCAACCACTAGGAGACTGTATACCTAGTGAGTTTGGCCCAAAGTCTCTAATTAGCCTCCTGATCTAATCCTGCTATCTTCATTGCTGCCTGTGTGGAGAAATAGGTGCACAGGGAATAACATTACAAACTCACATTACTAAAGCAGGAAAGTCACTGCAGGCAGCGCTTCACTCCTGAGACTCATAAATAAACCAACCGCTGCTATTTCTTTCTCTGTTTTTGAAAACTGATCTAGAAGACGGGTAAGCGCACTTTCTAACACCTATTAAAATCTGGATTTTCCCAGCTAGCTTATTAAAGGGAAAGGAGTGAATCCCATTCCAAATCTCTGTATTTCCCTAGAGGCTTTGCTTTCTCTGATAGATGCTAAAGAAAATAAGCAGGGCTCCAGCACAGAATGTGGTAGCAGGAACTCCTGTTGTATTTAATTCCTGTCTAGCTCCAATACTGAGATTTAGCCTAGAAACCTAAGCCCCTGAATTCTAGCTACCACACTGCTGTTGCAACGAGTGACTGTATCGGTGAATAGATGGTCTAAGTTGGAGGTCAGGCTGGAGTTCTAAAGTCCCAATTCACAAACAGCGGAGGCATTTTATTTATGCTTAAGAACCAGAAGACTGATGTAACCGGAAGTGATCCTGTCTTACATTCATATAGCATTTCCAGCCCAAAGGGTCCCAAAGCACTGCACAAACTCCGCATGTGCAGCGCTGCCCTGCTGAAATGCAACCACCTAAGGCTGGAGAGTGGCAACCCCCAGCATCAGGCACACTGCACAGATGCAGAAGAGGGAAATGATTGGCTATGGATCGTGGAGCAAACCAGGACTCTTAGGGCAGGGATCAAGAGATTGGTCCCGTTCATGCAGTGCAGACAGGATGTCTGGTTTTAATGTCTCAGCTGAAAGACTCGCAAGCAGTGATCTTGATTGTATCTCAGTCTAACTCAGGAGTATTCAGGGCTGATCACTAAGGGGCCAGATCTTCATGTGCTCAGGATCCCCAACGGGGTTGATATTTTTAAAAGTACTCAGCGCATAACAGCTCCCTTTGTGACCCTTATGGCCAGATTTTCAAAAGAGTGGGGAAAATGTGGCCATATTCCCCATGTCCCACTGAACCGCAGCCTGAAGTCTGTGTAATGACTCTGGAGGTGGAAGGTGACGCAACTACTCTCAAATTCACACATGGAGAAACAAACCCCAGTAAAAAGCCACACTTTAAAGAAGCCAGTCTTTGATTAAACCTATAGCCACAAGGTGACTCAGAACCCAAAGGTATATATTGCAGTAACACAGCACAGTCTGGGTTCTGTGCCAGAAAGGTTTAAATGTTTCTTTTTTTCTTAACTCCATGAGTAGCAGGAAAAGGGATGACTATGAGAAGAGGTGGTGGAAAGTAGGAGCCAAAGTAACTTTTGTTCATGTCTCCCAAGTTCTATGGGGAGGTCTCTAGTGGCTCTATCACTGCCTCCAGAGCGCTGGCCATGAAGCTCTACAGTCGTGCCTGGGAAAGGATGCTAGTAAACACATTTTGAGGATATTTCATGTGCTTTTCTACCATTTAGTCATCAGTGGCTAATGGTGCTTTGGGGAACAGCAAACCAACCTCCACTTTCCAGCTAAGCACTCTCCTTTTGTCCACAGCTGGACCCAGAAGCAAGTGACAATCTCAAAGAGCTCCAAGTGAAACTGAACAATGTTTTGGATGAGCTCAGTGTTGTGTTTGGTAACAGGTGAGTACATCTAGCTTCTATAACCATGGAAACATTCCTTTCCTTCCACTCCAGCTGCATCTCTCCTGAGATTGAGAGAGATGAAAGTAAAACACATGGCAATTTCACAGTGTGTTTCTGTTTTGAATCAAATTCATGGCCTTGAATTTGCTCAATTCTCCATCTGAAGAGTTGAGAAACTTTCAGAAAACTGTATCTGTTGTGTTCATTGCTCTGCCTGGGAACAGAACATGAGAATCTGAACTGTGAAATGTATTTGGATTACATATATTGCTGATCCTGCTGCTAACAGCACATGTGTCTGGGAGAATTGAGTCCTGTTCTTCATTGCTCTGAAAGCAGTTTCTAGTTGAACATTCAGAAGCGATATTCCTGTTTAAATGCAAACCTTCTGTTAAGGTATGTAACAGCTGAGTGCTTTCTGATTGTTAAATGAGTATTACAATCGGAAGGAAACTGGCTTAGCGTTTGTGATTCACGCTGAGACTCAGGACTCTAGTGTTGCAAAGGTTGGCACTTTTTATAGGCTGGTCAGTCATTGTTGGCACCAGCGCCAGAATTGTTGCTAGTTGCAATTAAAAGCTTTATTTACAAATCGTAGATACAAATTACCTGTGGTGAGGAGAGGAGTACTTGTGGCACCTTAGAGACTAACAAATTTATTAGAGCATAAGCTTTCGTGGGCTACATCCCACTTCTTCGGATGCATATAGAAGTGGGTTGTAGCCCACGAAAGCTTATGCTCTAATAAATTTGTTAGTCTCTAAGGTGCCACAAGTACTCCTGTTCTTTTTGCGGATACAGACTAACACGGCTGCTACTCTGAAACCTGTGGTGAGGAATGTGCCTCGGCTATCCCTCCCTACAGTGAGCACAAAAGTTGCAGCTTAAGCAAGACTGGAAGGCTGAAGACTGTCTTCACCTTTGCTGGATGTTCAGGTCTCTGTATGGAGGCATGGATTGAGTATCAACTGGCCAAAAATACGGTTAGCCTGCGAATTAGAAGGTGGTTTCTAACCATCAGAGAAGTCAGGTTCTGGAACAGCCTCCCAACAGGAGTAGTGGGGGAAAACAGCTTAACTAGTTTTAAAGGGGGAGGGATAGCTCAGTGGTTTGATCATTGGCCTGCTAAACCCAGGGTTGTGAGTTCAATCCTTGAGGGGCCACTTAGGGATCTGGGGCAAAATCAGTACTTGGTCCTGCTAGTGAAGGCAGGGGGCTGGACTGGATGACCCTTTGGGGTCCCTTCCAGCTCTATGAGATAGGTATATCTCCATATATTATTATTATTTATTTATTTATAAGGTGGAGCTTGATACATTTATGAATTGGATTTATAGGCTGGGGTGGCCTGTGATAGCAGGAGGCAGGACTTGATGAGCCAGGAGTTCCCTTCCAGTCCTATGTTCCTAAGTAAAATGTCCCCCAATTGATCCTGTCTATTAATCTTTGAAAATAACTATTCCCCACAATAAGGACAGTTCATCTCATCTATGCCCTGTAAAAAGATTAATGCAGGCACATCCAGTAGTGCAGCTCCTACCTGGGTGGTAAGAATAAAAACTCAGCCTGACCGCTCTGCTTCCCATCCATACATTTGTAGTATTTATGACCACCAGTTACTTTGTGGGACTTACTGACACATAGCTGCATTTTCAGCATATGGAACTGGTAACTAAGTGCATATCTCCCAGTGCTATTCATGGATGGTGGCAGCAGGAGATGGGGAGATATGAACACATGGAACTGAGTCCATGACATTCATAATTAGATGGAGGATGAGTGAGAAATCATAATTAGTGGGTTAGTATTGTTATCTGACACTTGTCTTCATGGTGTCAATGTTACAAGACAATTAGGGTGGAATCTTGGCATTTGAAAGTGTAATTTACAGAGATTATGCAGTATCAGCACACGTTATCAGGGAGTGTTTCAGAAACATGTGCCAGAGAGAGAGATTAACCAGTCAATAGGGTTCAGCTGCTTCATTTAGTCAGCAGTGATGTATCAAATTAAAAGTGGAAGGGCAGCTTACTGTGCAAGACAGATCTCCTCAGGGATGTAACTGAGAGGTACAATAGGTATCCTCACTAGCATAAAAAGCATCTGTACAAATGGCAACTCCTGGGACACTTTGCACCTCTTACGCATCAGATCTTTTTTCATGTTTGAGGGATAGCTGCAGTGGCTGAGGAAACGATTACATCTCAATTCCCTGCTCCCTCTCTCCTGAGGAAGCTCCATCACAGAGCACAGCATGACAGAGCCTTGTTTGGTCAAAGAGCCATATTTAGTGCATTACTGATGGACACAATATAGTCTTCAGTGCAGTGTGGATACTGGGAGAGCAATTCATCCCAACGCATGGTCCCACACCCACCTCTTCCCATTCTCACACTGGCTTCTGGAAGGGCTGTAGGCTTCCAACACTGCATAACAATACCCCCACCCCAATACCGGGGGGGGGAGGGGAGAGACCCTCAGTGGCATATAGGATATTCCAGCACATTGTCTTCGGTAGCCTAGGTACAGATTCAAGGGGCAAGAGATGAGCTTTTTCAGCAGCAGGCCTGGAGCACTCCCTTTGCTATCTGCAGACCCCTGCTTTGCTGTACCGTTCCCCAAAGAATGGGGGGCAAAACTCCACAGCAAGGGTCATGCAAAAGTAACATCCACGACTAAACCTAGAGCAAGCTGGAGAACTGCCTGCCACCTTGTCAGCTCAGATACCAAGATGATAGGCACCTTAGACCTAGATACCTTCGAACCAAGCTTTATTAAAGATTGGTGGTTGGTATGGAGCCACTTGCATGGCTGAAATGGCCATTCTGTAGAAAGAATGAAATTAAATCAGTGTCTGACGTGGTCTCTCTCAGCAAGCTGGTAATCCCTTCTCTGCATCCTGGCCTGGTGTGGTTCTGTCCTTAGAACACCCTTAATCCCATTCCGCACATCCCAAACATAGTAAATGTATTCCAAACACACCTGGGTCGGGTGTTCACATCTCCATAGATCAACAGCGTTGAGACACTACTGCTGCATTAGCAGCCTACTTAGTGTAACACTCCACATCAGCTTTTCACACGTAATAAATACTCCAGGTTTTATAGCTCAGAGGAAACATAGCATGGTTTACACCTAACTGCGGGTTAGATGTTGTTTGTTCTTGGAAGCCTTGGAGGAGAGGAGACGGCATATGAATCGGGGAATGCAGGAATCCTATCTGTTGGTGCCTGAGAGACTGACATCCCTAGCTCACTGCAGTGACTGGTTTATGCTGGGCTGCCCAGTTACATTGCAGTTTACGCACAGAGTAAGATGTAGCTGCCAACACTTAATGTTTTCCCCTAATGTAGTTATGTGACCCTGCAAACCAGGAATTCTTGGGTTTCGGTGACTTGGCGCAGCTGCATGGTCATTTTCACGGAAGCTGGTGTCTTCCTCTGTGTTTAGAAACCTCTGCTTCCCTGCGCCAGCTGGAGGAAAGGGTCCAGACCAGAGGACTCAGGTCATTGGGGCTAAAGGAAGCAGCTGCTGCTGGACCCTGAGAAGCTGATAATTTCTTGTTTATATACAGCCCACCCTATTCCCAAGCACAGATCCCTGCAATATGAGGCCTCTCATAGTCTTTGAGATCAGAAGGGACCATCATGATCATCTAGTCTGACCTCCTGCACATTGCAGGCCACAGAATCTCACCCATCCCCTCCTGTAACAGACCCCTAATCTCTGGCTGAGTTACTGAAGTCCTCAAACAATGATTTACAGACTTCAGGTGACAAAGAATCCACCATTTATCCTAGTTTAAACCTGACAGTGACCTGTGACCCATGCTGCAAAGGAAGGCGAAACCCCCCCAATCTGACCTGGGGGGAAATTCCTTCCCGACCCCAAATATGGCGATCAGTGAGACCCTGAGCATTTGGCTGCTGCAGCACTGCATGCTGGCACTCCGCTCGAGTGCCCCACTGTGGTGTTCCTACTCTCTCGAGCACCTCAGCAGTGTCAGAGTGGTGAACGTGAGAATGGAGGCTTGGCTCTGGGGTTGCTTCAATGGAGTCGGATGCACTGGTGGGAGGCTGCTCCATGGGGAGAGAAGAAGGCAGTGGGGCATGGAGCCTAGTGAGGAGCAGAGGGTGCATGTTTTGAAAGGAGAGAGGCCCACCTGTGCCACAGGTGTCCTGCTGACTCAACGCTATAGGAAATCAGGCCCCTTATTTAGGTGCCCAAATATAGATTTAGAAGTCAGCTTTAGACCCCCGCCCCCATGTTCGGTTGATTTGGTGGAGTAAGGGGTGTTAAACCTTGACCGCAATCCCTAGCACTTCTTACATGTTCAAGGCCCTACACAAACATTAGTTAATTGAATGCCACACTTACCATCTATTATCAGTAATAGTTGCCTTAAATATCAAGATGGGTGTGGTGATACCTCTGACTGGACCAACTTCTTCAATAAAAGAGATGACCTCACCCGCCTTGTGTCTCTAATACCCTGGGACCAGCACAGCTACAACAATATTGCAAACTTAAATGTCAAGGCATTTCCCTTCATTCCCAGCTGATGTGTTGACGGCTCTGCTGCAGTATTCCCCACATTAAACCACTACATTAGATTCTTCTTGATTGCCTGCAGTAACTAGGTTGCCATCTACTGATAGTGGTTGTGACAAGCTAATTTCCCGAATGGATGTGGCTCGGATCTCTACCTGTCTATCCTTGGGAGTTGCAGACAATTGAACTCCCCTAACGGCCGGCATGTCACTTCAACAGAGACATTGTTCACTTGGCTAGCCAAGCCCCAGTTAGTCTTGACACTTATGTATAACCCGGGCCCTGTGGCACTGGGGCTTGTTTCAGTCAGCACGTGTCTTTGCTGCTGAGCACCTGTGATTTTAACAACTCTCTATTGTAAGGTCTGGCAATGAGCTGTATGTATGTGTCTGTCCGCAGTGCATTGCAGTTGAGCCCTGGTTACACTACTGATCTGTGTGAAGTCATAGACTGTATATACCAAACACAGAACAGTACGTGCAGTTGTAATTCTTGGAAAAAGAAAGGGCAGCTTTCTAATTAAGTGACTGAGTTTATCTCCAACGTGATGAGGCCATGTGTAGGGATGCTAGTGTCACTACTGATATTCTACAGTTGATTACTCTGATAGTGTGTCCTTCTTAACAACATTGAGAAGGAAGCAATAGGGAACGTCTTAGATGGAGTCAGGAGGAGTATTGCGTAGTTAGTGAACACAAGTTATGTTTTCATGTGAAAAAAGTGATCGCTTTGCCGCTGAATAACCTTGCTTCTCTCGTCTGTCTAGCTTTCAGAGCCGTATTGATGAGTGTGTCAAGCAGATGTCAGATATACTCTGTCAAGTGAAAGGGACAGGAAATATCCCTGCAAATGCCAGGAACACAGTGGCGCAAGACGCGGACAATGTCCTGAGGCCATTAATGGACTTCCTGGATGGAAAGTAAGAAGAGCTCAGTTCTGTATTCATACTGCCATAAAATTTCTAACAGATTGGGAGGGGTTTCTCCAGCCTTCTGGATGATTCCCTAGAGACGTCTTCTCTATCAGGGTCATCCCGGAGGGTTTTTATCTTTGGAAAAGAGGTGGCTTCTGGATGACATATCAGACTTTCTCGTTTTGAAAGTGTCAGCCAGCAGATATCATGGTGTTTCTGTGAATCCCATGACATTCGCCAGGTATAATTCGTGCTTTTGTTGCATGAGAAATGGTTTATTTTGTTGCATTTATACTTGAGTCATTCCATCTTCTCCTCGGGTTGGATGCTGAAAGGCACTGTGTGCTTCGTAGTTAGCATGCATACACAGTAGCACTTTTACATCCGTAAAGCAATTTCCATGCTTTACCTAACTACTCCTGGGAGGCAGCATCACCTTGTATTGGTGGGAAGTAGAAGTGGGAATGCTCATGACTTCTTTCCTGAGCACAGCAAGACAGAGGCAGAGCCTGGATTCTTCTTCTTGTCTATCCTGCAGAGGAGGCAAGTTCCTCTAAACACTGCCTGCACCGTGCTAGCATCACCTCTTTGTTGCCTGGGTTCAGTTCTGGCAAGCTGCTCTTCACCCAGCTGAGGATTTTGGCTAGGCGTTGAGAGACCTGGGAGAGGTGGTTTTCATGTTTGATATAAAGGAGCTGAGTGTTGTCTATGTATTGCTGGCACTTCAGCCAGTGTGTTGTGTCCTCAGTTCTCCCAATGGCTTCCTATAGATGTAGCCTCGTGGGACTCTGCCAGTGAGTCTAATCTCTCTGTGCCCTACACTTGCAGGGGGATGGTCAGTGAGAGGTGAAAAGGGAAACTGATCAGAACTCTTCCAGGCAAAAGGGAGTAAACACAGAAAACTGATGCTGAGGAAGGCAGCTATAGCCAAGCACAGAATGGAAGCCAAGAAATACCTTGATGTGTTTCTGGAGAAGGGTGTTGAGGGCTCTCCTGAGAGAAGCAGGAAGGTGGGTTTCAAATCAGCGTTCAAAGAGCCCATCCGTTGGGCCACATGGCCTTTTGCTGGCCCTACAATCAGTTATGTTCACTCTTCTGTGGGAATGGGCTCTGCCAGGTAGGAATACTTGGGCTGCTGCTTTGACTCTTACTTCTCTCTGTGGTGTCTCATTCAGATATACGTGGTTAGTGTTTGGAAGGAGAGCGAGACAGCTGAGCTACAGAAGGATGCCAGCATGCACCCTCTCCAGACTTGTTACAGCTGAGCATGTGTTCCTTGAAAGTAGGAGTGCCACTGCCTTTGGACTCTGCGGGAGCTTTGTTTCATTAAAACTTTACTTTTCATCTCTGGCCCAAGGAAAGCAAAGCAAAGCAAAGCTGTGCACCTTCCTGGTCTCTGATTTCCAGCTGCAGCAGAGACCTCAGAGGAGATGAGGCATAGAGCTCTGACTAGGATCTCTCATGCAAAGAGAGCACATATTTGAAAAATGAGGAAGCTTCGTTCCTGTGACTAGGAGGAGTACAATGATCTACAATGGTCTGGAGGGTGTAACTACTCCACAGGGAGTCAAAGTACTGAGTGGGAATGTGATATTCCTGACAGTCTTCGGGGCACTGACTTCGGTACCTACCTCGATGCTGATGCAAACAACTTATTGGACCAGGGATGGGGCTGGACATTTGCTTGCTTCTCTGAGGCTCACTCCCCCATTGCTTCTGAACAACTTTGAGTGTCCTTCGGCATCAAGCCTGGAGTGATGGTTCCCTTCACCTTTGTTCTTCAGACACCGGTCTGATACTGGGATCTGTATTGTTCTCTCAGTGGAGACAGGGGCTGTTGGCCCCCAATGCCATGCCCTTATCCTCAGCAGCCTCCGTGGAATCAATGGGCAATTCCTCATTCTATAAATCCGAATCCTCCACCCGTTCCTGTGCCATGTAAGCTGACCAGCCAGTGGTATCACCTCCTCAGCCACCTACACTGCAAACTCCGGCGGAGGCATCTCCCTTAGAGCAGGTACACATGGATCCACATATACGAGAACCAGTACTGCACCAGGACGTTTCAATGGCTCCTTTTCTTCCATCCTCCTCATTCGAGTGTTGGAATCTTCCTCCCCTGGCCCTGAAGATTTTAAGGAACATCAGGAGCTCTGAAGATGAATAGCTTCGTGCTTTGGCTATAGAGGCTGAGTTTGTGCAGGAAAACAGGCACAAATTGGTGGACATCCTTCAGTCTTTGACTCAGGGAGAGTAGCTCTCCTTATTAGTGAGGCACTGTTGGAGCCCTCCTAGGTTTGTGGAATTCCAGAGCTTCTTTGACACCTACAGCAAAGCATATGGACAAGAGTTATGATGTTCCTATGCATGGGCAGAAAAATATATCGCCTTCCTCCTTGCCAGATGTGTGTTGCAAACCAGCATTTACTGCTGTCCAAGGATAGTTTTTTGAACTGGGACTTTGTAGCCAACTTCATGGACAAATTGCCTGAATCTTCTAGGGAGGAGTTGAAGGCATTTATCACAGAAGGTCATCTGGTCACGAAGACATTTTTGCAGTTGGCAGCAGCAACAACAATGTCGAGTGCCAGAGTTATGGTGTCAGCGATTTATGATGAGAAGAGCATCACAGTTGCAGAATTCTGGAATAGTGCAGACATCCAACAGTGTGTGGAAGACCTGCCCGTTGACAGTTGATTTTTATTTTCTGGTAAGACAGATGAGAAGTTGCATTTGTTTAAGGACTTACAAGCAACCCTGCACTCTTTGGGGATTTATATCCCAGCCACAAAAAGGCGTCATTTTGGAGGTCAGCAGCAATACCACCCACACATATTTTAGACAGGCACCAGGACTACTCTAGAAAGGGCAGTAAGTCCCACAGGAGGAGGACTTCTGGATCTGCTTTCACCCAGCCAACTTGTCCACCTCCACCTTTGGGAACGCAGCCCATTTGACTATTAAATCGAGAGCACCATACCACTTGTGGATGTTCAACACCGTCTCTTCAGTTTGTAGGCAGGCCGTCTCGCTTCTGCAGTGCTTGAGAATCAGCAACGATGGACAGATGGGTCCTAAGCATGGTGGGATTGGGTTATGCTATACAATTATTCTCTTCCATCCCCCCTCCCTTGTCAGGGACCCTTCCAATGAGTCACCGCCTCTTCTTCAGATCCAAACTCCTCGTGCTCTGGCAGCTGTGGAGGAGGTTCCTCATTATCATCACAGGAAGGGATTTTATTCCCAGTATTTCCTGATCTCCAAATCCAAGGGAGAAATGAGACTATCCTTGGTCTCTACCAGTTAATCAAGTATATGAAATTCCACATGGTTACCTCAGCTACTATTCTTCCTGCTGGTTTGCTGCTCTCGATCTTCAGGAAGCTTATTTCCACATCATGATTTTCCCAGGCCACAGGAAGTTCCTGAGATTCATAGAATCATAAAATATCAGGGTTGGAAGGGACATCAGGAGGTCATCTAGTCCAACCGCCTGCTCAAAGCAGGACCAACCCCAACTAAATCATCCCAGCCAGGGCTTTGTCAAGCCGGGCCTTAAAAACCTCTAAGGAAGGAGATTCCACCACCTCCCTAGGTAACGCATTCCAGTGCTTCACCACCCTCCTACTGAAAAAGTTTTTCCGAATCTCCAACCTAAACCTCCCCCACTGCAACTTGAGACCATTACTCCTTGTTCTGTCATCTGCTACCACTGAGAACTGTCTAGATCCATCCTCTTTGGAACCCCCTTTCAGGTAGTTGAAAGCAGCTATCAAATCCCCCCTCATTCTTCTCTTCTGCAGACTAAATAATCCCAGTTCCCTCAGCCTCTCCTCATAAGTCACGTGCTCCAGCCCCCTAATCATTTTTGTTGCCCTCCGCTGGACTCTTTCCAATTTTTCCACAACCTTCTTGTAGTGTGGGGCCCAAAACTGGACACAGTACTCCAGATGAGGCCTCACCAATGTCGAATAGAGGGGAATGATCACGTCCCTCGATCTGCTGGCAATGCCCCTACTTATACAGCCCAAAATGCTGTTAGCCTTCTTGGCAACAAGGGCACACTGTCGACTTATATCCAGCTTCTCGTCCACTGTACCCCCTAGGTCCTTTTCTGCAGAACTGCTGCCTAGCCACTCGGTCCCTAGTCTGTAGCAGTGCATGGGATTCTTCCGTCCTAAGTGCAGGACTCTGCACTTGTCCTTGTTGAACCTCATGTCAAAGTCAGATTCAGGACTCACAATTTGTCAGACCACTCTGTTTATTAGCAAAGCGCTCTGCTAATACACCCAGATAGTTTGAGTCTTGCATGGTGCTCACATTATCTTATTTATAGAGATAAAAGGGCGTGAATTTAACAAGATAACAAAAGGAAGCAGAACTGATAAGTTTACCTGGGGCTAGACATACATATCTTATTTCCTTATTAACTGTTACCAATCTCCTGTTAATGTCCCACCATTAGCTTAAGTGAACCCATTGTTTCATACCTTAGTGTTTCTCTTCCTGACAACTATATTTCAACATTCATTATTCCTGCTTAAAGGAACATACAGCATTTCTTTAATCCATTCTATTTTTACAATATAATTCATTCTACTTTCACACTCATCAAATTTTTTTGGGCCCAATCCTCTAATTTGTCTAGGTCCCTCTGTATCCTATCCCTACCCTCCAGCGTATCTACCACTCCTCCCAGTTTAGTGGCATCTGCAAACTTGCTGAGGGTGCAGTCCACGCCATCCTCCAGATCATTAATGAAGATATTGAACAACACCGGCCCCAGGACCGACCCTTGGGGCACTCTGCTTGATACCGGCTGCCAATTAGACATGGAGCCATTGATCACTACCCGTTGAGCCCGACAATCTAGCCAGCTTTCTATCTACCTTAAGTCCATTCATCCAGCCCATACTACTTTAACTTGCCGGCAAGAATACTGTGGGAGACCGTATCAAAAGTTTTGCTAAAGTCAAGGAATAACACGTCCACTGCTTTCCCCTCATCCACAGAGCCAGTCATCTCGTCATAGAAGGCAATTAGGTTAGTCAGGCATGACTTGTCCTTGGTGAATTCATGCTGACTGTTCCTGATCACTTTCCTCTCCTCTAAGTGCTTCAGAATTGATTCCTTGAGGACCTGCTCCATGATTTTTCCAGGGACTGCGGTGAGGCTGACTGGCCTGTAGTTCCCCGGATCTTCCTTCTCCCCTCCCCCCCGCACCCTCCCCTTATTCCTCATTGCTGGCCAGCATTACCAGTACATGTAGCCTGTTGTCAGCTCCATACATCTTTATTAAATGCATGATGGTGGTAGCGGCCTACCTAGGAGGTGAATTCATGTCTTCCCATACTTGGACAATTGGCTATTGAGCGGCAGATTCAGGGAACAAGTCCTTAGTTGTGTCCAATTCATGCTGGACCCTTCTGATTGTCAAGGGTTGATTTTGAACAATGAAAAATCAACATTGAACCCCAAAAAATCAAGTTCATTAGGGCCCTGTTATACTCTATGAATTCAAAGGCCTTTCTCCCAGTTTAATGATTCCAGACAATTCGGCACTTTTGTCTGGACCTCCAGTCGCATCCATTGACTTCAGTCCATGTATGCCTGGGACTACTGGGCCATATGGCCACACACACTTACATGATGCAGCATGTAAGATTGTCTCTTTGCCATCTTCTGCCATGCTTGAGGTCAGTTTATTGCCCCAGTTGATGCTCATTGGACAGGCTTATCCGAGTAGCCCCAGAGATACTGGACTTGCTATATTAGTGGACAGAACAATATGTGCCAGAGGGTTCCGTTTGCCCATCCTCCACCAATCAGAACAATAGTCACCGATGTCACCACAATAGGTTGGGGAGCGCATCGAGGGAAGTGAAAGATTCAAAGTTTGTGGTCAGAGCAGAAAGCTTCCAGTCATATGAACATGCTGGAGCTTCGGGCAATAAACAATGTGCATCAGGCCTTTTGAGATCAGAGCTGGGGAGCACAGTTCACACATTTGCAGACAATACCACCGCAGTGTATTAAGTGAACAAGCAGGGATGAACCCACTCCAGCTGGCTTTGTCAGGAAGAAACCGTGCCCACAGCGGCACACTTACCAGGCTCTGAAAACCAGCTGGCTGAGCATCTCAGCAGGACATTCTCAGTCAACCACAAGTGATCCTTGAAGAGCAGCAGAGTGAGGCAGAATGGGGCATTGCTTCCATTGACTTTTTTACAATGAAGGGCAAAAGGAAACGTCCATTTTGTTCCCAAGCGGGGCTCAGTCCAGGGTCCCTAACTGATGCTTTCCATCTGAACTGGGGAAGAGACCTGCTGTATGCCTTGCCCATTTCCCTCGGATTCCTCGGGTTATCCTCAAACTCACATTGGACCATACTAAGCTGATTCTTATTGCACTGGCCTGGCGAAATAATGTTGGTTCTCTGGCCTTCTCAGTGTGTTAGCTCAGCCTCCCAAATCAATCTCTCTCTCTCTCTCGCCTGATCTGCTGACCCAGCACCATGCCCAGGTTATTCTTCCAGCATTTGGCAATCTACACCTCACAGCGTGGATGGTGTGTCGCTAAATGAGGAGGAAGGAAAATGCTCAGAAACAGCTCAGATAATAGCGCAATATCTGCCGCATAAGCTGTGGTAATACAGGAAGTTATCTACCTGGGAGATCGTCTGTGAGGAGACTGGCTGACCCTTCATCTAAACCACAAAGGTAGTTCAGACTATGTCGTCCCCACAGACATTCTGGACCCATTAGACAAGACCACAAGCAACAAAGATCACATTTCTCAGTGATATCTCAATAGTGAACATTTGTGCGGCTGCTACTTGGTCTTTTGTCCACACTTTAGCTAGATGTTCTACCAGATGCAAACTTTGGGATGGCTGTTCTGCAGTCTTTGTTTAAATAGAGTCTGCAGCCTTGGATTTTGGTGTGAAGGAACTGATGGGGGTTGGGTGACATCACCCTTGAATAGCCAGGGGAGGGGCTAAGACCACAGGGTCTGAGTGCCACCCCTACGAGTACTGCTAAGCAGAGTTCTCTGGCTTCGGTGTGCTGGGTGCCTGCACACCTGAATGGAATACACATCTGCACCCACATCTCAAAGAACAAGTTACAGTACAGGTAAGTATCCATTTTATATGGAGTGATGCTACAACACGTGTGAACCTCTTATGCTTAACAATCTGTCCCGCTCTGTATTTAACTTCAACACTCTGGTTTCCTTCTCCAGACCTGAAGAAGAGCTCTGTGAAGCTTGAAAGCTTGTCCCGCGCACCAATAAAAGTTGATCCAATACAAGATATTATCTTGCCCACCTTGTCTCTCTCATATCCTGGGACCAATATAATTACAACACTGTCTCATCCACTCATTGTATATAAAGTCTACCCATAGCCAATAGATAAACCCCTGTGTTCCTGTTAATATCACCTTTGTCGTCATCTCCCTCCCTCTCCATTTTTTACCAAACTGAAGATTGGATGCGTCTCTACAAGAGAGGCTCTAGGACAATCAGAAGTGATGGGCTTGATCACATTCTGCGGAGTGTTTGCTGGAGGTCACGCTAGAAGAGTATAATGGCCGTCTATTAGTGTAAACTCACCTGCTGGGTCTTTCCCTATTTAGACGGATGAGCCCTTTGGAGCAGGGTGCTGCTTCTATTTTATGTGTAAGCATCCAGCACAATGGGGCTCTGATCCTGTTTGGGGCCCCTGCAAGCTACCATAATACAAATAAAAACTTTCTATTGCTCTGGGGGTTAAATAGCAGTGGCTGAATTCTTAGGCACAAAAATCCTGTTTTGTGCAAATGTCGTAGTGCTAAAGCTGAAGGAAAAAGCATCAGAAAACATTACTTTAGCAGCGCTGTAGGCAAAGGGGATGCTGCTCTTTCCTATGGGATGTGAGATAAAAGTTAACATAAATTGTTAGGTGAGGCATTAAATCTCACCCACACTTCCACTCCCTTTCTCCTACAGCCTGCACTGCTGGAACTGCATTGTTTTAATCCACTCTTGCTCTCTCCCTGCAGCCTGACTCTCTTTGCCACGGTGTGTGAAAAGACAGTGCTGAAACGGGTGCTGAAGGAGCTCTGGAGGGTGGTGATGAATACCATGGAGAAGCTCATTGTGCTGCCTCCACTCACAGACCACACGGTAAAGCACAACCTTCTTCCTTACTCAGTGCAGAAACCATGCTCAGTCTGCTGTACGACCCTGTCTGGGTGGTGGAGTCTGCAGACCAGCCTGTTCTGAAGGGTGAGCGTTGAAAGGAAAACTATGGCCATAATCTAAGAAAATAAAGACAGGGCTTTATTGGTAATGGGTTCTTGAGGCAGAGAGAGTGCTCTCCCAGCTCAGAATCTGAGATGCCGGAGTCCAAAGCGTGACTGTCAACTGCACCAAATTGTTGAATAGGAGTCTGCAATCTTTTTCATAAGGCAATGCGCACCAAATTACCCGGTTGCTGGTGCTGACTACACTGGGTTAGCTTAACCATGGAAACGCTTTCACTTCATGATCATCAGCTCCCTAGGCTGGGGAGTTGTTTGAAGCATGACCAGGATACACCTGATTTCAAAGGTAGACGTATAGAAGTGTTCAGCTGCAGGGACCAACTGGATTAATGTGTGTCATGAACTGCAGTGACCTGTTAATGATGAAAAATTAGCCTGTCCCCTAATCATAGAATCCTAGAATCATAGAATATCAGGGTTGGAAGGGACCTCAAGAGGTCATCTAGTCCAACCCCCTGCTCAAAGCAGGACCAATTCCCAACTAAATCATCCCAGCGGGGCTTTGTCAAGCCGGGCCTTAAAAACCTCCAAGGAAGGAGACTCCTCCACCTCCCTAGGTAATGCATTCCAGTGCTTCACCACCCTCCTAGTGAAATAGTGTTTCCTAATATCCAACCTATAACTCCCCCGCTGCAACTTGAGACCATTGCTCCTTGTTCTGTCATCTGCCACCACTGAGAACAGCCGAGCTCCATCCTCTTTGGAATCCCTCTTCAGGTAGTTGAAGGCTGCTATCAAATCCCCCCTCATTCTTCTCTTCTGGAGACTAAACAATCCCAGTTCCCTCAGCCTCTCCTCATAAGTCATGTGCTCCAGCCCCCTAATCATTTTTGTTGCCCTCCGCTGGACTCTTTCCAATTTTTCCACATCCTTCTTGTAGTGTGGGGCCCAAAACTGGACACAGTATTCCAGATGAGGCCTCACCAATGTCGAATAAAGGGGAACGATCACGTCCCTCGATCTGCTGGCAATGCCCCTACTTATACAGCCCAAAATGCCGTTAGCCTTCTTGGCAACAAGAGCACACTGTTGACTCATATCCAGCTTCTCGTCCACTGTGACCCCTAGGTCCTTTTCTGCAGAACTGCTACCTAGCCATTCGGTCCCTAGTCTGTAGCAGTGCATGGGATTCTTCCGTCCTAAGTGCAGAACTCTGCACTTATCCTTGTTGAACCTCATCAGGTTTTTTTTGGCCCAATCCTCTAATTTGTCTAGGTCCCTCTGTATCCGATCCCTACCCTCTAGTGTATCTACCACGCTTCCTAGTTTAGTGTCATCTGCAAACTTGCTGAGAGTGCAGTCCACACCATCCTCCAGATCATTAATAAAGATATTAAACAAAACCGGCCCCAGGACCGACCCTTGGGGCACTCCGCTTGAAACCGGCTGCCAACTAGACATAGAGCCATTGATCACTGCCCTTTGAGTCCGATGATCTAGCCAGCTTTCTATCCACCTTACAGTCCATTCATCCAGCCCATACTTCTTTAACTTGGCGGCAAGAATACTGTGGGAGACCGTATCAAAAGCTTTGCTAAAGTCAAGGAATAACACATCCACTGCTTTCCCCTCATCCACAGAGCCAGTTATCTCCTCATAGAAGGCAATTAGGTTAGTCAGGCACGACTTCCCCTTGGTGAATCCATGCTGACTGTTCCTGATCACTTTCCTCTCCTCTAAGTGTTTCATAATTGATTCCTTGAGGACCTGTTCCATGACTTTTCCAGGGACTGAGGTGAGGCTAATCCTGGTGAACTCCAGAAGCAGATTACATTGCAGTCCCAGATATCCAGCTGCTTCCTAGGATGGGGTCCAGTCCCAGGCAGAGTAAACTCCTGGCCCTGGGTTATAAGCTAATTGTTTGGAAATGGTCCAGAAATATTACTACTTGTCCGCATTAAAGCAGGCTCTTGGCCTGGGGTTGATGTACTGAGTGGCTCTTCTTGTTTGTCACTGGTTTCTGGTATGTGTTGAAAGGTGTTCAGGTCATGGCGTCTGAAGAAGTGGTGGAGACTTGCATCTTGATGTAAATGTATTTGTCTTGTGAGAGGGAGGGCCCTTGTCTCACCCTTAAGGATATTGTAAACACCAGAGCTGTATTGCACACAGTGAATCCTACCTGTCAAGCAAGAAACTATTGCAAGGGATCCGAGCATCAAACTATAGTCTTCGCTCCACGTTCAGGTTTTAAGTGACCATGTTTGTGTTTCTTTAATCAGTTTCATTTGTGTGCTGGATTTAGAATGCAGACAATAAATAACTTTAAGGGAGGGGGGTCATGTGTGTTTTTCTAGGCTACTTTTAAGCTGCTGTGGAAAGAGTCTGTTAGTAGATTTGCGGAAGCCTGAATGTAAGAGCAGCCTTATTATGATCCTAACAATCCCTTCTAACCTGAAGAGATGAAATAAAAGCTTTCCTAGGGCACCAGGGGACGGAGCTGCTTTGGGCTTTTATGCCGGCCCCTTTTGAAGTTCCCATACTGAGTGGGAGGAAAGCACCTGATGCCACATTTCCCCCTGAAAGGCAATACATAGCTACTGCTTGCAACCCTGCTGGAAGTCACCACAGAATAGCCATTCAGTGATACTCCATATGGCTTCATGTTACCTTCTCTGACACATTCAAAATGGAGAGGCTACGAAAAGAAGCCAGAGTCCTCTCCTGCTTCTGCAGGATTTCTCCCGTTGGCAGGATGTGGCTCTCTGACAAGAGAAGCTAGTCAGCTACTGAGATGTAGGTTATAATGGAACTGTAACTCATCTATTGCTTTCACACCTCTAGGACAGCAGGCAGCAGCAAGTGTCTGAATAACACACTCAGTTCACTGGCTCATAAGCCTGTGGGTATTGAATTTCCATGGATTTCAAGATCAATGGCAACATGAGCTGCAGTAATTCAGAGAGCAATTCACACACCTCACCAATTATAAGTAAAGATCAACATTTAATTACAATACTGTCTCTCTCGGCTGAGTGGATATATGGGGTTAAGTCTCTGGAACTCAATATTTTTGGGCTTCTGAATACATCCCATTTTATTATATTATCAAAACTAATGCACATTCCTTTCGCCTTCCCCACAGTAGAGTGCACCCCAGCCCGATATTGTGTGGCTGCAGATCAGTAACCAGATACTTGATTCACACATGGACGGACGGCTCCTCAGATCTCTCTGCCTTTATTTGCTATCATTCTCATTACACAATGGGCAGCTACAGCCCACCCAGTTGATGGCCAGAATTACACACACCCCTACTGCGTTTCCTTCTGTGCCCCCGGAGAGACCTGTCTCCCCTAAACGAGTGCATGATCTGGAGTAGACACAAGATTCAGCCTCTAGAGCACGTCTACACTCCTCTTCCAACAGGACTACATGTGTGCGAAGGCAGGACCTTTACATTCACACCCACAGCATCCACATGGAGGGGTTACAGCAGAGCACTTCAATCTGAACTGCAAGTCACCCCCTCCTAGACCAAACTGCAGAGCAGTGTAGATAGATGTGCCCGAAGCGTCAAGAGCTGATTTTACCTCTCACATAGCAGCACCCTGCCTGTTATGCAAACAGATCCTCTGAAGTGGATGGCAGTGCTGCTTTAGCAGTCAGCGGGGGAGGGGGGGGAACTGTTCGGGCAGGGGGGCTGCTAGCACTCATTATGGCCTGTGGAGATAAATACAACCTCTCTGTTGCATTAGCCAAGGGCAAGGAATTCCAAGTCTGCTCCTGTAGCAAGTGTGCGGGGAGGTGGTTTACCTTAGCGTTGGGCCAGCTGAGCTAAATCATGAGCTCTGCTGGAAAGTCAGATTCTGCGCACTGCCAGGGTCCTCGGAGAACCACTTCCAAATACGAGAAGCCTTTTCTGTCCCAGGTTAAAAGCTAGCTTGTGATCGCTTCATGTAGCAAAAACACCTTAGAAGAATAAATAATCTTTTATTTTAATGGGCACTATACAGAAGCTCTGCTTGTCAGATAAAGCCTCTTAAATAGATAAACAAAATAATGCCAATAATCAAATCTAAAGGCTGTCTGATCTGAGCGCCAAACACACCTGAATGGAATAAATGTGCCTCAAGGCAGTACTTCATGCAAGCTAAAGCACTCGTGAATTAGTGCCACATAAAGAAATAAACCTGGGTACTAAGGAGCTCTTTACAGACAGAAAGACTGTGGGGTTCGTGACCGTCTGCAGACCTGTGTATTGTGTCTCTGTGTTTTGTTACATCTGTCAAATCAAGTGGCAGGATGTGTTAAACTTTGGCAGCTTACTCTTCAGAGAGTGTAAATCGGCATCGCCCATTGACGGACAGCAGCTGAGAACCCTGCCCCATTGACGGACAGCAGCTGAGAACCCTGCCTGAATGGCTTTTTTAAAAACAATCAAACCATGAACAGAGATTTTAATTATCCCCAGGCTGCAAATGATAGCTGTCTTATGTCTGTGACAGGCGCAGGTATGAAGACCAAGTGAATTTCCTTGGAAAGCGCTAGGAAAATTAGAACTGCTTACATCCTGCACCACTCAGAACTATGGGTGTCACCAGACAGATGATAGTACTTCCTGTGGTGGCCCATGCTCTCTCCCCATGTTCCTCCATGATGCTTTAACCACTTTTGTTCTGGGGATCACCAGGAACTACTTTTGTGCTAAGCACCCAATGTCAAAGGGTTAAAATATAGTAATGTCCGTATAACACGTGGAGGTTCTGCTGCTTCCAGGGATTGTTGCTGAATTTCTGCAGTGACAGTCGGGGATGGTTCATTCCCAAGGTGATGCACGTGGTACAAGGTGTCTCGAGAGTTTTCTGGTGGGATGTTTCCTTGCATGGATAAACAGCCTTTTGACGAGCCGTAGTATGTTGTTTACAAGAGCTGTCTTTGCCTGATGACAGAGCTGTCCATGTTATTTCATTTGGGCAATCCCAACTTTGATGACAAACTCATTGTAATAACGGAATAACTTCTGTTTGCAAACATATGCTGACAGAGATTGGCATTGATTGGCAGGGATAGTGCCTAGTGGGAAAGAAAAATTGGAGACTACTTATCTGAGCAGCTTTGTTCCATGAAGCATTCTGAGTCACTGGGTATGGCTCAGTGTTTCAGACCTGGCCTACTTAGGAGCCTGCAGCAGGAATGCTACGTGCCTTGGCTGGCTAATGTTGTTCAAACTCGTATTGAAAAATTCCAAAGAGGAATGACAGAACTGAACTGTGAAACATTAATATTTAAATAGCATTTTGGGGCTGCCCATTTAAAATGTCTTGTAACTTGATTTAGAAGAAGTGTGTGCTCTTCTGCTTAGCTCAGCAGGTGCTGAAACCTTAAGAACCTCTTGGAAGTAAAAATGAACTCCAGAAATCACACCGCATTTACCATTTGACCATAAATGCTGATCAAAAACTCTAAGTGCAGTCACATACATTGGTCAGGTATTGCAGTAGTGTGATTAGTTAGCAGCACCTTGTAAAAGCTACTAGGATATACCTTTCTTCCTCCTGGGGTCATTCTGCGCCACTGCGCATGCGCAGAATTCATGTTCCCTGCAGATTTCTTTGCTTCCCTGCAGAAAAAAGACTTTGACAGGGAAGCAAAGGGAAGCTGCAAGAGCAGTTACGCACCACTCCCTAGCTGCGCAGGTATATTGTTTCAGGCACCCAGAGCAGCTGGCGGAGAGGTAAATCACCGCAGGGCTAGGAACACCCCAGCCAGTAGCTCCTACCCTGATCCGGGATCAGCTGCTAGTCCTGGCTGGGCTGGAGGCAGGAGAGGACAGGACTTCCTCTTCCCCTGCAAGGAGTGGCTGGGGCTGTGTCAGACTCACCCCCAGAAACCTCCCCCAGCTGCAGGAAGCTCAGCATCCTCCCCTGCTTCCTTCCCCCATCGCTCCTCAGCTGCGGGGGAAGGGGTCACTGTATGGGGAGCTGCTCCCCCATCTGCCCAACCCCCGTGCATCTGGACTTCTCATACCCAGACACCCCCACCAAGCTTCACCCCACATCCAGAACCACCCTAGTCCTCCATATCTGAACCCTAGCCCACTGAACCTCCAATCCCTGAATCTGGAGCCCCCCTGCACCCAGACACCCTGCCTCAGGACTCCCACCCCTGCACCCAGACCACCCCCCACTGAGCTCCCTGCACTCAAACCCCCACCTTGATGAGTCTCATCCCCACATCCAGACCCCCATGCCCCTGACCCCCAACTAGCTGCACCTAGACCCCCACCTCACCAAGCCCCACTCCCCCAGCACCCAGACCCCTCTACTTCAGAGACAGCTTACAAAATGTCTACACGAAAGTTCTAACTAACAATGTGATCTGCGCTTAGTTTCTAGTCAACTCCATAAAAGCTTTGTACTCCCAGATCTGTAGGTCTGGCTATAATAGAGCTTCCAGTCTAGGGTAATACAATGTATTCACTATCTGTTTATGGGTAATCCAGCTGGATGTGTAATTGGTTTAAATAGGTGGTTTCTGCAAGCAGTGTACCGCAGCCTGCGGGAGCTCTGTATGTGGCTGTCCACAGGAAGGCTGTTTTTTACTCTAGCTAACAAATGTGTCCCTTAGAAATAGAGGAAAACAACACTAGCATGTCTGGCCCTGGGTTGGTTATGTCAAGATCAATGGACCAGCTCGATTTGCACCTTTTTCCTTTACTTGCTCAAAAATTGATTTCTAATCTTTCTCTCCTTTCTTCCACTTTAACTTCTTGCAATCATAGGGTACACAGTTGATTTTCAGTGCTGCTAAGGAACTGGGACACTTGTCAAAGTTGAAGGTACTGATGTTGTGTGTGGCTTGCATTTATGTCCTTGTATACAAACGTGAAAGTGCAGTAGTGCATAGCATGTGTTCTGTGTCTCCCCCTGTCTGTGACTGGCAATGTGCCCCTTAGAATACATGCTACTAACAGTGCTACGCTTAGATTTACTGCATGGCTTTATATTTACAGTAGATTTAATTATTTGCATGTTCAGTATAACAAGTGAACAATCGGTAATTTATTTTAAAAGGAAAAAGAAAGAACACTGAGAATCCATCCAATTCCTCTACATGTACTTGTGCAATAGAAAATGCCAAGTTTTCGCTTTGAGCTCTTTTATAAATAGTAATCAACACTTGTAATAAATGGATATCAATGGGAATGTAGGCTGCATTAGCTATTGACAAAGGAATCGTTTCTGAATTGGACTCATTGATATGAAAATAACTGTCACTTCTAGAGCAGAGCTGAACTGTGCCCAGAAATTCTGACTGCGTGGGCTCTCTGTTGCTGGAAGTTGGCATTTAGCATGCAGGCTGATCTGATGTGCTTTGACGGCACCGTAGCTGACATGAGTGTCACTAAGTGCACGCTGCCTGACAGTGAGCCAATCAAGCATTGCTCCAGGGGTCACAACAAGAATGAGATGCAAATAGAGAAATGGAGATGCTTTATACCGGTCAGGCCCTTCTGAGTATGATTTAACCTTGCTACAGAAAAACTCGTGTGCACGAGAAGCTGCAAATGAGGAATCGCAACACACGAAATTATCAATTGTGCAGCAGGGAGGATTGGCAGGAAGCTGAACTTGGTACAAGATGCTGATTAGAGAGCACTTTCCAATGCAAAGAGCATTTTTCTGACTGAATCAATGTATTTTAAATATGTTCCGTTAACACTGTTTCCCTGCCATTAAAATTCAGTTGCCTTGTGCATGTATCACATTTGTTACACTTATTGACACAAGATGCTAATGGACTGTGACTGCATCTGTTTTGTTTCTTCTCCATCAGTGTCTACCCTGCATCTCGGGACCATTATCTCTTTCCTTGAGGCACCCAGGTTTTTCAGGAGCCCCTCGGGCTCCTCTGTGGCAGAACTCAAAGCTCAGATTCCTGTGCTGGGGGCTGTGCTGTGCTACTTTGCCTGCAGCTGTGAGGCATCTAAGCTGTCTGCCTCCTTTCGTCCTAGTACCCGTGGTCGCAGATTTCAGAGGTAGCTCAGCAGAGGGGCAGCAACTGAGCTTCAGGCAGCCAGCTGGCCAAAGGCTTTGAGAGGATGGGGGACAGTCCTCCTTGTCTTCTCAAGTCACTGGGGTCACATGGAGGGCCTTTGCGACTCATAAAGCTGCTGTGAACATAAATCTGAAATGACACAAACATTCTGCTAACTGCTATTGCCTGTAAATCTGTTGGATGTAAGTTCAGTGAAATTGACATATTTTTTTTTGTACAAAGGACTTTGTTTTCAGAATTGCACATGCCTCATTTGCATAGATGCACATTCAGTGTTCCTGTGCAGCCCCTGATTTGCACGCCCACGTATTTCTGTGCACACACAAGTCCAGGATGACAGGGGAGACGTCCACTGAAGTTCGTGTGCAGCTAACATGCACATAACTGAAAGTGTACATGCACTCGTCTGTATCTGTCCCAGAGGCATTAGTTCTTCTTTGAGTGATTGCTCATGTGCATTCCAATAGGTGTGTGTGCACGCCGTGTGCACGATCGTCGGAAGATTTTTCCCCTAGCGGTACCTGTCAGGTCGACTGTGGAGACCCCTGGAGTGGTGCCTTTATGGTGGTGTATATAGGTCCCTGCCGACCCACCACCTGCTCAGTTCCTTCGTGCCGCCAGTGACGGTCATTGGAGCATAGAATCATAGAATATCAGGGTTGGCAGAGACCTCAGAAGGTCATCTAGTCCAACCCTCTGCTCAAAGCAGGACCAATCCCCAACTAAGTCATCCCAGCCAGGGCTTTGTCAAGCCGGGCCTTAAAAACCTCCAAGGATGGAGATTCCACCACCTCCCTAGGTAACCCATTCCAGTGCGTCACCACCCTCCTAGTGAAAAAGTTTTTCCTAATATCCAGCCTAGTCCTCCCCCACTGCAATTTGAGACCATTACTCCTTGTTCTGTCATCTGCCACCACTGAGACCAGCCGAGCTCCATCCTCTTTGGAACCTCCCTTCAGGTAATTGAGGGCTGCTACCAAATCCCCCCTCACTCTTCTCTTCTGCAGACTAAATAACCCCAGTTCCCTCAGCCGCTCCTCGTAAATCATGTGCCCCAGCCCCTAATCATTTTTGTTGCCCTCCGCTGTACTCTTTCCAGTTTGTCCACATCCCTTTTGTAGTGGGGGGCCCAAAACTGGACACAGTACTCCAGATGTGGCCTCACCAGTGCCGAATACAGGAGAATAATCACTTCCCTCGATCTGCTGGCAATGCTCCTACTAAAGCAGCCCAATATGCCGTTGGCCTTCTTGGCAACAAGGGCACACTGCTGACTCATATCCAGCTTCTCGTCCACTGTAATCCCCAGGTCCTTTTCTGCAGAACTGCTGGTTAGCCTCTCGGTCCCTAGTCTGTAGCAGTGCATGGGATTCTTCCTTCCTAAGTGCAGGACTCTGCACTTGTCCTTGTTGAACCTCCTCAGATTTCTTTTGGCCCAATCCTCCAATTTGTCTAGGTCCCTCTGTATCCCATCCCTACCCTCCAGGGTATCTACCTCTCCCCCCAGTTTAATGTCATCTGCGAACTTGCTGAGAGTGCAGTCCACGCCATCCTCCAGATCATTAATGAAGATATTGAACAAAACCGGCCCCAGGACCGACACCCGGGACACTCCACGTGATACCGGCTGCCAACTAGGCATGGAGCAACTCAGTCTCTTTCATTCGCAAGTGCCTACCTAGTGGTTCCTTTTTCTTCATTGTACATAGTCGTTAGTTCGTTATATACTAGTTTGTAGATAGTTGAACTTACTTTGGGGGGCTTGCCCCCGCCCTAGTTTCCCCAGGCACTGAGGCATGCCTCGGTCGCAGGGGTTTAAGGCCTGCGAGAGGTGTGTGAAACCTATGCCCACAAGCGATCCGCACACTGCTTGTCTCAAGTGTTCAGGAGAGGGCCATCAGACAGAGAAGTACCCAATCTGCAGGAGCTTTAGACCCAGGACTGTTGTTTGAAGCTCTTCCTGATGGAGTTGGCCCTCTGCCCACAGCCAGCACCGGAAGGGGCACCGGCATCATCGGTGCAAAGCGCCCCGGCCTCGGTGCAGGATGTCCCGGCACTGAGGAAGGACTCCTCCAAGGAGCACCCGCATCGCTCCCTGACTCGTAAGGCCACTGCTATCAGGCGGCACCGCATAAGAAAAAGAAGGCAGACAGGGCTCATTCCCCTGTCAAGAAGGCACGAGGGGATTCCAGCAGGGTGCGTCCTCCGGTGGGACACCCACGGTCTGGGCCTCAAGACCCAGCACCATTGACTCTGGCCCCAACAGGAGGCCCATCAAGTCCGGTGCTGGTAGACGCCCTGACTCGGGAAGATCTGGAGGAAGAGCTCGACCTTCCCGCCACACCGGATACCTACGAGGCAGCATGGGACCTCATTGCCATGACGGCACGGGCCCCGGCACCACAAGCCCAGGCACCGGCGACAGAACCGGCTGCAGCATCTATCCCGGCGCCGCATGTGGCTCCAGCACCCTTTGCGGCACTGATGGCGGCACTGCCTCTCGTTCATCATTGTGGCAAGCCTATGATGCTACCGCGCCGCTCACCATCTCCCGGTACTGGTCGGGCACAGACTACTCTTCCGAGTCAGATGCCGAGTCTTCTATATCTTGACGCAGCCACTCCTGCTCCCGGTCCCAGGACTGCATGGGTGGAATCATTGGCACCGGCCGTCGCCTGGCAGGGCCCAGTCCAATGGCCTTTTTGGACTCCTTGAGCCTACCATCAGGGTCAGGGCTCCAGGCTGGCATCGGTGGCATCTGCACCCCGTGCCCCCCACTCAGCAACGTCGCTGGCTCGACACACCCCCAGGGCTTCCGAGGACCCTGCACATGACAGGGACTCTGGGCTGTCATGTTCAGGCGCAGCACCCGAACCAGCGCCATCAGTGATACTAGAGCCACCTCCAGTCACGGGAGGCTCCGAGGCACCTGACTGGACCTCCAGAGAGCCAGAAGGGCAGGAAGATCCTGTCCCATGGGCCTTCCCCTTCTCACCAGATGAGGCGGGGGCGGGCACCACCACCACCCTTCCGGCAATGGACACCAGGACCGCCTTAGGAGGGTAGCCCCAAACCTCAATCTCCAGGCAGAGGAGGTCATGGAGGAGTCTGAACCGATGGTGGACATCCTTCCCCTGGAGGGTCCTTCTAGGGTGGCCTTGCCCCTAATAAGAACGATCCAAAACACCACTAAGGTGCTCTGGCAGACCCCGGCGTCTATACCACCCACCGCTAAAGGGGTGGAAAGATGCTATTTTGTGCCGCAGAAAGGGTGCGAACACCTTTTCACCCACCCCCAACCAGGGACTCTGGTGGTCGATGCAGCAAATCACAAAGAGGGGCAAGGACAGCCGGGTCCTGCGCCTACGTCATGGGACGCTAAGAAGCTGGACCTTTTTGGCCGAAAGGTCTAGTTGACCAGGGGGCTCAAGCTTCGAGTGGCCAACCAGCAAGCGGTACTCAGCCGCTATGCTTTCAACTCGTGGAGCTCATTGGCAAAGTTCCAGGAGTTGCTCCTGGCTGACTCGCACAAGGAGTTTAGTGCACTCCTTGAGGAGAGTAGGGTGGTCTCCAGAACCTCCCTACAGGCCGTGTTAGACTCGGCGGCTCAGATCATGGCCACCGCCATTACAATGAGGCGCAGTGCGTGGCTCCAGGTGTCGGGAATACCACCGGAGGTCCAGAACACGATTCAGGACCTCCCCTTTGACTGCGAGCTTGTTCGCCCAAACGACAGACTCTCGCCTGCACAGCCTTAAGGACTCGCGGGCAACTTTGTAG